ACTTTTTTTTTTAAGCAGCAAATTCTATTCATGGTGAGCTTTTCTATTATAGAGACTTTCAAACCAGTCTTCTGTTGATGTAGAATACATGAAATTTTAAGATTTATTTATTTATGCATACAGACCAGAGGTATGCAGGGGGTGAGAGGAATCACCAGAGACAGAGTGGGAAGTAGAGCAGGCAGACTGACTGAAATACACTGCTGAAGGGAGCAGTGAGCTGGTTAAGAGAGGTCTGCTGTGCCATGTGGATCACCTCCCTGGTGGGGGATTGAACTTGTGATGCAGTGGTTACCAATAGTTTCATAGTGCTGTGCTTTAACCTATTGTGCTGCCTGGGAGGGCCTTCATGAAATTTTTTAAGTTTCCCCTGCATCTAACAGGTCTCTAAGCCACAGGAGTGGTGGTTTCTAAAATTCCACAATTAAAAATTCATTCTTTGATGGTGACTTCTTGTCCTTTATAAATGAATGTTCTCCTCATTGGAATGACCTTTAAAACTAATTAAATAAAGTTTGAAGTTAGCTTATCAAAATTTAAAAATTTATCTGAAGGCTATGTAGAGGGGAAGCTGGGTCTTGCCAAGAGCAAGTATAAGTAAGTTGCTGAAAGAAACAATACAATGGACAAGAGGTGAGATGGGATTTCATATAAGTTACTTCACGTATTGCAGTTCCTTCTTTTTGCTTTCAGATATTTCTCTATAACCTTCAGGATTTAACTGTCCCCCCAGGAATCCTGGCTAGCCAGCCTGCCAATCTATATGACAGTCATTTCACCGAAAAGTGATTTTTGTTTGTTTGTTTTATCTCAGGTATCGCTCTTATATCCACTCAGTAAACAGCTTACTGATCAAAAAGCAGGCATCAGTTTTTTCCCTCTTTAAATCAGAGGAAAATATTGCCATGTTTTCTTGCCAAGAAGTGAATCTTGCTTTGTTTATTTCACTTAAGTCCTATCTTCTGCAAAATCTATAATAGTTTAAGGCAATCTGGACGATTTGTACTTATCACAACTTGGAACGGAATTCTGAAGAGGCTGACTGACAGTGGAATTAAAAGCTTTGAAATTCCTCTGAGGTGTGAGCAATCTTTAATGACCCGGATTTTATTTTTTAATATGGTAAACAAATAATAAAAGTCCTCTCTCCTGATGAAGTCGCCTCATGATTAAATACATATTTCACTTTGTGCCTAATATGAGGAGTGAGAGTTCAAATAAAAATGGTATGAGCCAAAAGTATGGATGACATATATATTTGCATAAAATAAGAAGAATACATTTTTACTGCTGTTTATAGGAAACATGTTTTTTGGCACAAGCTTCACAAAGACTTCACAGAGAGTCCCATGGAAATACTTTTAAAGTAAATTGTGGGGAGATACCTAGGAATTCTTATAAAGACTGTGAGCAGTTTGGTAGTTAAATGCCAAACAGGCAATCAGGTGCTTGTGTTTAAAATTGTGTTGTGAAGGGCTATATTGAAATCTGTAATATCAGGATGCAACGTGATTGTAGAAGAAAAGGCTTCCTAGGAAAGCTCACATCTTCTACCACCATTCAAATACAGATACTGAAACTATAAAAGACTCAGTCTCCTTTTGTGTCCTGGGATTTTATGTATTAATTAGTTATCCTCCTCTTAACCGCCCCAAGTCACTTGACTTTCTGGTTTTAGTTTTCTTTCTTATGAATCTGGGTTTGTCTGTTTTTCTTTTTGAAGCAATGCTGGAATCAGCACTTGTTCAAGTGTATTAGCAAGTGTTTTTCAGTTGTTATTCATGGCCAACTCTGCTCTGAACAGGCTGTTCATCCCTTGGCTGTCTAGGACCAGTCACTTGCAGGAAAGATAACTTGTAACCACAAGAAACCCAACAGGAGAAAATGCCAAAGGGGAAAACATGTTAAATAAGATCATATTTAGAAGTTTTTTTTTTTTTTTAAGCATTAATTTTATATAAATGGGATACAATACCAGGTGGAGGTGCGAATAGGCTGGGGCGAATCACCTGACTTGGGCTGTCACCAGGCTGTCCGAAGTTCACTGCCTTCCAGTCAGTGCGGGGGATGCCCCAGCCTAGCAGCTCTGGTGTGCGTAAAACCCAACGGTGCATGGGAGCAGGGAGCGTAGGACACACATAGTCTTGTGAGGTGTCCACAGGTGGTATCTGGGGATTGGCACCATTGTGTCTTTCTTGGGCTGGCAACAGGGTACAGGGATTTCATCAGCGTTTTGAAGACATTTTGCCATAATGCTGTGTCTTGTTTTTAGTTTGTTTATTAAGATTTATTTATTTATGCATGTAGAACTGGGGTACAGGCCAGATGTGCAGAGGTAGTGAGAAGATTCACTAGAGATAGACTGGAGAGCAGAACAGGCTGACTGACGAAGTGCACAGCTGAGGGGAGCAGTGGGCGGGTCAGGAGAGGTCTGCCGGGCCATGTAGGTCACCTCTGGGGCTGGATCAAGCTTGCAATGAAGCGGCTTTAGCTTCTCAGTGCTGTGCTTGAACCGGCTGTGCCACCAGCATGGGCCCTTGTTTGTCAGTTTTTTAACTGAGCAATTCTTTATGCAAAATAATGCTTGTCATATGCATTATGTTTTTCCCCTCTCCTGTGTACCTCACTCATTTAGATGCCATTGCAGTTAGTCAGAAACAGCTACTCAGGACAGGATCCTTTCTGTAGTCTCAAGGTGCATTTGAGACATCCCTCATCCAGGCATATAAAAGGAGCGGGATGGACCTGTCCCCAGGTGCATGGTGTATAGGTGGCATGCACCTGCCAAGTGAGGGCATCAGGAACTGTTCAGCTGCAGGTATAGATGGAGAGAGGTGCGACAGCCCAGCTTGGAGTTTCCCCCTTCAGTAATCCATTCCTCTCCACTCTGGCATCTACTACTTTTTACCGTGCTGCTGAGGAGGAGACACAGTGAAAGCTGGTACCCACATAGCACAGTGTGATTCATTGCTCCTGCCTTTCTTCAAGATGCATTCAGTGCCTGGGAGAGCCTGGGAAAGCAGCCAGGTTTTCCCAGCTTCCATACCTCACTCGGAAGCGGAGATGCCCATTCCTACATTTCTCATTGGAGGCTCCACTGAGAAAGTGCCCTGGAAGCACTGATTCAGTATCCCCAGTCTGTGTAAGACATTTCCCTGATAGGCCTTCGCTGGTTGGGACTGGGCTGGGCGGGGCTGGCAAGCTGAAGTTGCTGGTGCCCGCGCTTACCAAGAATCCAGAGAACAAATTACAGCTTCTGATCACAAGGGCAAACAGCTGAGCCTTTGCAGCCTGGCTCATTCCCTCCTGGTCATAATTTCCATCAACTGTAGTTAACTACCAGTGGGTGATTCCTGCATTTGAGCAGGGGTGCCTGTGTGTCTGTACCATTCAACCCCACTTCCGGTAGCCATGGGCTCTTAGTGTCAAAATGTATTCCTCTCACACCTGAAGTCACACACCATGATATATTTCTCTTGATACAGGTGGATACTTATTTAAATCCACATTGTCTAGTGACTTGAGATTTTAGGCTACCAGCTTTCTTTTTAAATCAAGATCATTTCCTACGATAAAAGTCTCAAAGATGATGTGACAACCCAGTGACCATGCTTAGGACTCTGGGCTCAGCCCCTTTATGCGAAACACCTGATGCTGTCATCATCACTTGCCTTTGAAATAGACATTTTGGATACTTCTCCTAATGATGGCACATTAAATGTCTATGTGAATGATAAAAATTTTTTTTAAAAAGGGCAAACTTTGGCCCTCCCTGGTGGCGCAGCGGGTTAAAGCACTGTACTGAGAAGCTGAAGCCACTTCCGCATATGTTCGATCCCCACCTGCCCTGGAGGTGACCACAGGGGGCGGCAGACCTCTCCTGACCCGCCCACTGCTCCCCTCAGCAGTGTACTTCGTCAATCTGCCTGTTCTGCTCCCCACTCTGTCTCTGGTGAAGCCTCTCACCGCCCCTGAGCCTCTGGCCTGTACCCCAATTCTGTATGTACAAATAAAATAAAAAAATCTAAAAATAAAAATAAAAAATATTTTTAAAAAAGGGCAAACTTTATGCATCGTAAATGCTCATCAGAGCTCTTTCTCATATTTCTAAGAAATGTCAAGAATTTGTTTATCCTTTTTCCTTTTGTTGCCTGTTTGTGAGAAATGGTGATGAACACTGAAATTCCTTAAGTAAGAGGGTATTTAGAGGACAGTACTAGAGGCAAATTAGGGGGATCACATAAGTGCATTTCTTCCTGAAAAATAAAAAGTTTGACATCTACTGGAGACAAACTTTAGAACAGCTATTGATGAGGGCACCATCTCTGAGACTAATAAGAGTTTTCCAACTTGTCGTGTTGCTTTTACCCTCTATGTGCCCAGTGGCTCCTCTTGTACAATTTTCTTACTAATAGTAGGGTTACATTGACGAGTATATGATGGACACGTGTGAAGTAGTCACTGTGTGCCTGGACACTGTCAGGACTCAGTACGTTTTGGGTAGAAAACCAAGAGAAGCTTTTCTCAAGGCAAACATTTATGGGGTTCCCCCTCCCCCTTTTTAGCTGTAAATCTATAATGAATCCCTTTGTTGTCACTACATGAGTGGCTGAGGCTTCTGGATTCCTTATCTTTGGTACCTGCTTGCTAAATTTATCGTTAATGTCTAGGGATTCATGATAATTTGAGATAATGAGTCTCCAACTTTCGCATCTGTTCAATAGCAAAGCCTCAGTGCCCACATCATAGGGCTAGTGCGTGATCACATGTGCTAAAACCCAGGAGGTTCTTCGTGTTGGCGCACAGAATGCCACCATATATATATATATATATATATATATATATATATATATATATATATATATATATATATATATATATATCACCAGTTTCAGATGTGACTTTGTCATGTTGGATGGCCAAGCATCCCCTGCCGCTCTGACAGGTCTTTCAAAGAACACCGAGTTCTGGATCAAAGGGCCTTGTTTTCTCCCTTTCAGACGTTCCTGCTGGTGGTTGGCGTGGTGGGCGTGGCGGTGGCTGTGATTCCTTGGATTGCTATCCCCTTGCTTCCCCTTGGCATCATTTTCTTTGTTCTTCGGCGATATTTCTTAGAAACTTCAAGAGATGTCAAACGCCTGGAATCTACAAGTGAGTCCAGTTTGGGTTGTGATGTCATTGTGAATGTATTTCCACGTGTGGCATACCTAAGAGGACCTTAGGAGATTGTGAGATCCCGTGGACTCTCTTGTGGGTCCTCCCAGAGTTCACATCAGGAATCAAATATCATTCGTCCTCCTCTTCTCCCCAACCCCCCCAGCCTAGTAGCTTGACCCTTTGAGCGAACAAAGCCCGTAGCACATCTGGGCCGCCTTGCAGGTCAACGAAGGACGTGTGTGGACTGTATTTTGCCACTGCTCATTTGCGAAGATGGGTGCAGAGAAAATTGCCTGTAGAGGACAACAGTTTGGGATTTCTTTAGTCTATTACAGTCTTCAACTTCCTAGCGTGGGTACATAATGGGACAAACATTTTCATAGTTAACTAGTAATACACGTAATCACAGAGAAGGAAGTAATTTAGAGCTTATTTCATCACTAATGCATAAGCATAATTATTTAAACAAAATCATAAGTGGAATAGCATTTTATATTAAAAACAACAGCAACATAGACCATGGAGGCATATAACTGAGTGAAAAAGGTCAAAAGGTCCAGACAAACCCCAAGTTATAAAATAAGTCCTGGGGTGTCGCACAACATGGTGACTGGCGTTAACACGCCTGTCTTGCAGACTGGCAAGTTGCTAACAGAATGATCTAAGAATTTCTTATTACAGAGTTGTATGATGATGGCTGTTAACTAGACTTACACTGGTGATCGTTTCACAGGACGTACAAATACAGAATCACTGTGCCGTGTCCTTGAAAGTAACAGTGTTATACACCAAATATACCTGAAACAAAAGTTGAAGGATACTAGCCAAGAAAGGAAAGGAGGACGATATTTGTACAAGAATCCTCAACCGCTACCAGTTACCCATTACCAGTCATTGCCAACTTGGCTTTCTGGAAGCTGGCTAATAAGAGAAGCATATTGAGCCCCATATATAAGTTCATGGGGATTAATGAGCTTTTTATTTTTCTGACATATATAGTTGGGGGAAAGATAGGAGGTGATTGTTTCATTAAAGTTATAGAAAGTTTCAGTCACTAAGCAAACCATTCACCTGCTGTAAAGGCCTGGCTTGGGGGCACGTCAGTGGGAAGACAGGGCAGTGTAGACTGAGCATGGCTGGTATTCTGCCGATGGACTTGGTCTCGTGATGAGACTTGGAGAAACCTAACAATCAGTGAGCTCCATCTTTGTTCTGTGCACTGGCAAGCTGCTCTGAAGTGGCATCGTTCAGCAGTCTGGTTGCACAATGGGAGTCTGGTGTCATCAAAGGCTGCAGGGAAAAGTGTGGGGTGGGGCATCTTTGAGAGGGATCTGGACAGAGGAGTTAACCAAGGAGAATTTCATTGTCTAAGTAGAGTAGACTTGAATTGGGTCGCAGGTATGCGAAACCTTATTTCCAGGTCATCACCATGAATGCGTGGCTTGGCCAGGGATGTGGGCATTTTCTTGGCGAGTTCCCTCGGATGCATGACCCTCACAATACAGAAGGCCGCTGGTCTCCCTGCATCCAGCCTTATGGAACTTTCTCTGTTCTTCCCCAGCTCGGAGCCCTGTGTTTTCCCACTTATCATCTTCTCTCCAGGGACTCTGGGTGATCCGGGCATTCAGGGCTGAGGAGAGGTTTCAGGAGCTGTTCGACGCACATCAGGATTTGCATTCAGGTGGGTGCATTTCTGAAGCTGGAGTCAGAGGGTGGGATGCGTTGCAGTCTCAGGCCTGGCCTCCCTCCAAAGGACTGCCTTGGCCATCACCTCGGCACTCTGCCTCTGCAGAATCTTCCTCCCATCCCCTTTCTTCTTGGCTTAGTGTCCTCAGAATCTCCACTTACACCTGGGCTTGCCTTGTCCTTCCAATACAGTCTTCTGTCCCTTTTTGTCCCTTGAAGCCAGGGGTCAACAAAGTCCCTTCAGAAGTGGATCAGAGAGTAAATATTTTAGATTTTGGGCACCGTGTTGTCAGTGGCAAACACTCTACCTCACATTGTAGCAGGAAAGCAGGCAAAGATAATCCACATCAGCAAACGGCCATGGCTGCACCCCAATAAAACTTTATTTACAAACACAAGTGGTGGACTACTCTACCTCAAAGTATGGTTTGCTGCTGGCTCTTGCTTCAGAGCATGCCGGGTGTTAGAAAACATGGAGGATGAGGATATTCATTTGCTGACTCTTAGATCTGCCACCCACTTGATAGGTATTATTCTTTGTATCAGTGAAGTTTTTTTTTTTTCCCCCTTTCTGGTGACACATTTCCGAACTTCCTCTTAAGCCTCTATAATCCCGATCTACCTTTCCAGTCTCTAGTGTAGTTTTTGTGAGAAAATGGCACTTACATTACGGCGCAACTCCTTTTAGTGAGACGGTTATTTAGAAACAGGGCCCTCAGGAATAAAAAGAGTGAGCCGACCTGGAGTAAGAACAGAAGGTGCCAGAAACAAGATGAATGATGTGCTCCTGCCCTTGCAGAACGAGGAACTGTCACGGTGCAGGGGGCTGCATTTCATTCGCGGAATGGCACTGACCACCCCCTTTCCATGTGCAGGATTTTGAGTGCGTTTCCGTTTCTTACTTCCGGGGTGAACTTTTCCACCAAGGCTTCCTGCACAGCCACTGTCGTGCCTCCTCGGCTCACCTTCTACCTTACTTTGTATGAAAACACGGGTTTTCCAGAAGCCTCCGTTCCCCAGACTGTACCTCACAGGCCAGCGCGGTGTGAGCCTTCGGTAGCTCAGCGGGCCTCGGTGTGCGTCCCCCTTGATGCAGCTAACACGATTTCTCTCCGTCCCCGTGCTGCTTGCTCGTCCAGAGGCGTGGTTCTTGTTTCTGACGACGTCCCGGTGGTTCGCCGTGCGTCTGGATGCCATCTGTGCCATCTTTGTCATTGTTGTTGCCTTTGGGTCCCTCATTCTGGCAAAAAGTGAGTACAGATGTGAATAACTATCTGTGGTATGATTGCAATTTGTAGCTGCATTTACGGTCGCTAAATTAAACGCTGCCCCCATGTCTGCTGGTGTCTCTGATGCATTGTGTGAAAGTGGGTACCAGAATGCTTCAGGTTGGCGCCGTTCACCAGTGTGACCCACTAAGAGGCACCATGTGGGTGTTGGAGGTTCCTTTTAGTTCTCATAAGTGGATAGAGGACTAGGTCAGTGAAACCAGCAGGCAGAGCTTCCCTGGAGTAGCAGGTGGTTGTGTGAGAGAACCAAGTTGGCCATTAAGTGTATGTGTGACCCAGCTTAAGGCCTCAGCTTTCAGCTTTAGAACCACTCAGATGTGCTGGTGGTAAGTGCCTGGTGCATGGGGTTGGAAGGAATCTCTTAGAGGCCAGTGTTATTGCAATAATTGTTTTTTTTTTTTTTAAAGATTTATTTATCTATGCATACCGAACTGAGGTACAGGCCACAGGTGTGGTGATGAAAGGATTCCCCAGAGACAAGAGTGGGGAACAGAAAAGGCGAATCTACTGAAATACACTGCAGAGGAGAGCTCGGGCGTGTCAGGAGAGGTCTGCATGCCACGTGGGTCAGCTCCCTGGCCAGGCATGGAACTCGTGCTGCTGTGGCTTCGGAGATCTTCATAGTGTGGGGCTTTATCCCATTGCCCCACCAGGGAGAGCCCAATAAGTTGTTTTTTTAAATGATAAAGGACAGTGATTCTCAGCAGGCACCTGGCTGTCCTCCTGCTGCTGACCACTGACAGCTGGTGCACTCAGCAGATGGGGTTTGTGCATGGTAAGACCAGGCCACCCCAAGCCTCCCGCAGTAGCCACACTGAAAGGGAATGAGCAGTGAAGTGTCTTACTTAAGTCTATGAGCACTGGACCAAAGAACTCGCTGTGTCTTTTTTAGTGTTTTCCAACCAAAACTGCATTGGATGTAGAAGGTGACATGGCATCAGGTTCCTTAAAACCCTAGGGATAACATTTTTTTTTTTTTAAAGATTTAGTTAATTTGTGCATACAGAACCGGGGTACAGGCCAGCAGTGCAAGGGTGGTGAGAAGATTCATCGGAGACACAGTGGGGAGCAGAACAGGCGGATCTCCTGAAATACCCTGCTGAGGGGAGCAGAGGGAGACAGGAGAGGTCTGCCGAGCCCTGTGTGAGACTCTAATGATTAAGTCTTCGTGAAGACACTATTCCTCACTTCTGTCTTTCACTGTGTCCTGTTCTCAGTCAACAAATAATGTATCCCTGGCTGTCATCTTAAGGGAGGTGACTAAATTTGATAAAGACATCGACTTGGGAAAGTGGCGGAGCCAGGCCCCGGGTCAGCATGGGACTCACTCTGCTGTCTTCCTCCTGCAGCGCTGGATGCTGGGCAGGTGGGCCTGGCCCTGTCCTATGCCCTCACGCTCATGGGGATGTTCCAGTGGTGTGTCAGGCAAAGCGCCGAAGTGGAGAATATGGTAATGTTTATCTTAATGTTCTTAGCTTTTTTTTGAAGTCCTCTTACCATTAAATGGCATAAAAGCCATTCTTATGTAAAACATTAAAACTGTTATTTTTACATTGTAGCGAACAGTTTTTTAGATCCTTCCTCCCATCTGTTTAAAGTTAATGTCGAATAAAATATATACATCTTTTTCTCAGTCTTATGGATGCTATGTCAGCGGGTTTTCTATTCCTCACAAGTGTCTTCAAATGTAATAAATGTCTCTGTAGGAGGGAGGTTCTGAAATCCTGGAGAGGATATAAGCTAATTTCTGAGAGGCCTGTTTATTTTTGTTTCTTAATGAGTAACTCCTCAGTCCCGGTATAAGAAGAATTCAGTATTTTCAAGTTGTTTGTTTAACTAATAGGAACCCCCCCAACTCCATTTTAGTATTTATTGTTGAATGTGTTGGTTGCCTGAGCATCCTTGGGTCGGGTCCCCTCTTCCCTGCAGGGTAAGCTCCCTCTGAGGGTGTGTGCTGGACGAAGCTGTCCACTTAGACTTGTTCAGAAAGTCCTAGCCCGTGTAGAAGTTAGCCCCTCTTTTGAGAATTTGCACCTTCTCCGAAGCAGGGAAAAGCAATGGAAATGAAATCCTTCCAACCGGCACTCGTAACAGAGTAGAAGGCAAGCGAGTATTCAGATGAGGTCTAATGTCCATCCCTGGGCTCCCTCTAGCAGATGACCTCTGTGGCCAGAAGTATCTTTGCTTTGACAGAACCCCATGCTTCACTCCGATGTGAGTGTGGCTACATGACGGCTTCTGCAATCCTTTCAGTCCTGAGAGGATGGTGAAGGAAACAGCTATCCTAAAGGTGATAGGGCGGATCATGGACCGTTTTTTGATCCACATCCACAGCTACTGCTACTTTGCTCCACTGGGGGCGTGAGACCTGCCTCGCCTCCACCCACTCGTTGTAAAAGAAACCTTTCTTATCCGGCTCCCCCAACCCACATGATGCCGCGTGTCTTTCAGATGATTTCAGTAGAAAGGGTCATTGAGTACACGGACCTTGAGAAGGAAGCCTCGTGGGAATGCCAGAAGCGCCCCCCGCCCGGCTGGCCCCACGAGGGTGTAATTGTCTTTGACAACGTGAACTTCTCCTACAGCTTGGATGGGCCCCTGGTGCTGAAGCACCTGACAGCCCTCATCAAGTCAAGAGAAAAGGTTTGTTGAACCTCCCCTTGGCCCCTAAATATCTTGACTAAACCTTTAGCGTCTTACTGCTTCCTTGCTTTTTTGTGAATGTGTGTGAGCTCGTGTTGTTTGGGAGTCAGAGACTGACGTCCTCATGTGTGCACTGCACATTGTTGGTGGGTCTGGGCCCACCACGAGCTCAGCCAGAGCCAGAGCCAGGGTCCTGCATCTGGCAGTGTATTCGTCATGCCCAAATCGTGGAAGTCACCCTGGCTTCTTGCATTAACCCCCAGATAGCTAGTTTCTATGAATTGTTTGTGTTTCTCAAATCCCCCTCTTACTGTCCAAGGCACCTGGGGCAGCAGTCCTCTTTCTCCTCCTTCCTGGTTCCTTCCCATACCCCAGGAACACATGAATTGGGACTGCTCTCCCACCTGATGAGTGCTATGCCCCAAAACCTAGCTCTGACTCCTATCTCTCACCAGGCTGATAAGTTCTCAGCTCCCAGAGAAAAGCCTGGAACCCATCAGGGCTGTGCTAAGCTCCTGTGTGAGTTTCCCCAGAGTGCCGGCTCCTCCCAGATCAGTTGGCCCTTCTCTGTACTGTGTGGCAGGTGAAGGACCCTCACTTTGATAATCAGCTCTGATGCCTCTGTGAGAAGACCCTGCATCTTCCTCCAACATCATGTATATTCGTTGCAGCATTACTCATAGGAACCAAAGGTAGAAGAGTCCCAAGTATCCATGGACAGATGAACGGCTTAAAAAATGTATACATGAATGGTGGAATATTATATACCCTTAAAAAGGAAGACAGTACAAACACATGGATGAGTCTTGATGAAATAAGCCCGACACAAATTCTGTGTGATTCGCAGTTCCCAGAGTAGTCAGATGAATGGAGACAGAACACAGGTGGTGGTTCCAAGGGGGTGAAGGAAGGGAGAGAGGGAGTTGTTGACTAGGGAAAGTGTTTCCGATCTGCAAAAAAAATCTGCACACTGGATGTCCATCGGGGTTCATGTATTTAACTCTCTGAACTGTGCACATAAACAAGATTAAGCGATTAGCTTTACATTATGTGTCTTTTTTTACAACAACAAAAAGACCACACTTGTAGCATGTTTTGTATGTTTGTTCTGTATCTCACAGTATCCTCAGTCTCTTTGACATCAGGCAGCCTCTCAGTTTCAAATATTCCCCAGAAAATGGCATTCTTGGGGCCGAGGGCTTGGCATGCCGGCCCCGGGACTAAAACATACCTGAGAGACAACTCCTGAGATAGCCCCTATGATTAATAGTTAGGGGTCACTACTAAGAGTGGTGCTTGGTAATTCTCTGTAACCGTGCCAGGGAGTGGACTCCACCTTGATGCCAGGAAAGAATAAATGTTGGACGTCACGCCCCAGTGAGAAGCTGAGTCACCAAAAGCTAGCCCCTAGTTTCTTCCACTCTCTTGTGGGGGAAGGTGAGGCAGCACTCTGTCCTGCGAGCGTGACAAGGACCCATGCAGACAGCATGTTCTCCCAAGTTCACCTTGTCAGCTCAGCTCATTTGCACCCATCACAAATTTCCCTGGAAGCCAGGCAACTCAGTACAGATTTGTATTCTTTCACCTTAAACTCCTCACCCTCCAATCATCAGCTTAGCAGAGATTCCCTCGCGTATGGGGAGATCAAACTTCCCGCCACTCATTTCTGGTCCAGCATCTCCTGACAGCCACATCTGAGATGACTCTGCAGTCCTCTCTGCACACCTGCCCCAGCCCTGGCTCTCAGGGACACCCCCCTGCTGCCAACTAGACTGAGAGCGGCTTGATGAAGGAGTAGGCCAGCACGGCAGAAGTGGGGCTTGATTCTCCTCCACTCATTTCCTCTGTTTTGTCTGCCCTGGAAGGTAAACAGGAAAATGCAATAGGCACTAAGCAAGGCTTCTAATTCATGGAAGAAATAGCAAGTAAAAATAAAGAACCCAAATGAGATAAATAGCACCTGCGGCTTTTTAGTTAGATTCTCAACACTGGCTGCATTTTTCATTTTTAGATGATTTTGTGGTTGATTTGATCATTTTAGAGAGTACTGGGCCATTTGAAAGCATTTTCCAGCTCTAGAGGTAGATTGATTTTGGTTTGTTATTTCTTTTTCTTGCTCAGAGCTATTACTTGGATAATACATTTTTACAGATGTGTACTAGACCTTGCTATAATGTGCAGAAATATTAGTTTCCTACACTTTCTATTTTCACTTGCTATTTTCTCAGAATACCCTCCCCTCACTCCCAGGCTGTCCTTCCCCTGCCGATATGATGCCCTGCTGCTCATACTGTGGGGTCTGTTGGGACCAGCAGCACCTGTGTCACCTGAATCTCCCTTGAAATGCAGAGTCTCAGGCCCTCCCAGAAGTAGCATTTGAAGAAGAGACTCCCCACCTCCAGTAAGGTCCTCTCTTCCCACAGGCATTTTCTGATGACTGGGGCCCCATGATTTCCTAGAAACATCCTTTAACAGTTTGTAGGTGAGCTCATGAATTACCCCAGCTTCTCCTGTGAGTGAGTATGAGTTTCTAGAAAGTTCTGGGCTGATTGTCAGCGTATTGTAAGTTTACACTGTAACTTGTACGTGATTCCAAATTTGAGCTTGGGTCTCCTTGGGTCTTTGTAGAGCCATCTCTCTGCTTTTTGGGGTGTTTCACTACAGGCTCAGCCCTGCCGGGACCCAGAGATAGGGCCCCCCACCTCGCCCCTGCAACCTTTCCCCTGATAGGGTCACAACAATCCCCTTGGCCCCAAGGAGGGTCTTCCTGGCCTTGTTCCCCAGGTGAGCCCCACTTCTCCATGGCAGCTGGTTCTTGCTGTGACGAGTAGCCCACTAACCAAATACCCCGAGATGTCGGCTCTCTTGTGCCCCCAGCTATATTTGCTCGCCGTGTCCACATCATGCTTTAAGAGCCCAACGGTGGGATCTACCTGAGAGGCCATTTCCTTTAACTGTAACGACACCTCTCTCCACTTTCTTCCTTCAGCTTAGAGAGGACATAAGGCTCCAAGCCTCTTAAATAATAGTGATATGAGGCCATCAAAAAATGAGCAAGAGGCTGGTAGACCTGGGTATGAGTCTCATCTGCCATTATGCTCCCTAGTGGTAGCAAGGCTCTTCACTTTGCAAAATGGAATTGACTGCTGAAAGGACGCAAAGTGCCTGGCTCAGACACCAGCACACGTGATGGCAAGACACTCCAGCGAGCGTGAAGTGACTGTCACCACATACGCTGCTGTCAGTGTCTGCCCCACGCAGTGAGGGCCCGCCATTGGCCGTGTGTGTATGCTGACAGATGCCATCTGCTGTGTCTTCTCTGTCCACCTCAACGTGTTCCTAAACAGCATGGGAATAGAGTTTCCATTGGTTTCTTCAACCGAATTACACTCAGCTTTCTACGAAACGCTTCTTTTGCAAAGGACGCTGTAGGGAACGCACAACATGCCGAGGTGAATGCCGGACTGAGCCTCTGCCAGCCGTTCCGTAGGGTAAGGGAGGGTAAACCTGGCCCTGTGTCGGGCAGAGGGGGCCGTAGTTGGGGTGCAGGTATAGAGAAAGGCAAGTGACCACACGCGGGGGCGGGAGGGCCACGTCAGGCGCAGGTAGGTCATTGCCGGGCATTGGAACCAACAGCCTTGGAGGGTTGAGCTGGGACTTCCCAGGGGGCGTGCGTTCTGGGGGTTTTGGGAGGGCGCCAGCAGGCCCCTGGGGCTGTCAGGTGGTGGAGGACCCTGCACCTAGAGGGTATGAGGTAGAGAACTGCATGTGCTGCTCTGCGCATTTGCCTCACCCCAAGAGGCCTGAGCTGGGGGTAGGGAGAGGTCTGTGCAGGAGTCACAGGTGTGGCAGGCACACAGCTCTCCTTGCAGGCTGCACCGGGACCATGGCAGAGGCTGAGGCAGGAGGTAGGAGGCTGGACGCTGGAGGCAGGAAGCCATTCGCTGTTGGGCTCACGCAACAAGAGGAAGCAGAGAAAGCAATCTGCTGCTTGGGCGAACTCATGTCGAATCCAAGACCCACGCGGGTCTGTGTTGGCGCAGGGAAGTGGGCAGAGCGGAGCAGGTGTCTGTGTGGGACAGTTTGGCAGGACTTGACAGCCTCCTTTGAAAATGTTCTTACCTGTTTCTCAGCGATTCCACATCTAAGAATTTGTCTTGAGGAAATAATTAAGGTTGTTTGCAAAGTTGGAGCTTCAAGGATATTTAACACAGGAGTTATGTATATAGCAAAATATGGGAGACAGCCGAAATATCCACAAGTAGGGGGCTTGTTACATTCACGTTCACAGATGCTGTAGCATTATGTCGCCATTAAAATAATTATTTTTATGAAAACAGATTACAGTGATGTGTTCCTATTAATTCCATTTTGTTTAGGTATAGGAGCTTGAATCTTTCTGAACACACACATGCACATACAAGTCCAAAAAGAAAATTTGAAGGAATGGTTTCAGCAGCGTGTGGGGCTTCTCACCGGTGTTCATTGTCCGGGTTCATTTGCATTGATCACAATTGGAGGAGGCCTTGTTTTATTTATTTTTTTTAGATTTAATTATTAATTTTTTCATACAAGAATGAGGACACAGGCACAGTGTGAGGGTGAGATTATTCCCCAGAGACAGAGCGGGGAGCAGAACAGGCTGACTGACGAAGCACACTGCTGAGGGGAGCAGCGGGCGGGTCAGGAGAGGTCTGCCGTGCCATGTGGTCACCTCCCTGGCTTGGGATTAAACTTGTGCTGCAGTAGCTGTGGACAGCTTTACAGTGCTGTGATTTAACCCCTTGCGCCACCAGGGAGGGCCCTATTTTCATTTTTAAAAGTAATGGGGCCGGCCCTCCCTGGTGGCGCAGCGGGTTAAAGCACAGCACTGAGAATCTTGAAGCCACTTCCGCATGAGTTCGATTCCCGCCTGCCGCCTGCCCCGGAGGAGACCACATGGCGAGCCAGACCTCTCCTGACCCGCCCGCTGCTCCCCTCAGCAGTGTACTTCGTCGATCTGCCTGTTCTGCTCCCCACTCTGTCTCTGGTGAAGCCTTTCACCTCCCTGAGCCTCTGGCCTGTACCCCAGTTCTGTATGCACAAATAAATAAATAAATCTTTCAAAAAAAAAAAAAAAAGTAATGGGGCCTTGCACTCAAGTGATGCCGGGGGGCGTTGAGTGAACGAAGCTCTGTCCACCAGACGCCGCAGGGCGTGGGCGCCATGCTGGTGTGGGAGGAGGCTGGCCGAGGTGCGTGTTGTGAGGGCTGAGCCTGGGAAAGAAGCTGTGGAGAAGTCAGAGGGAGTAGCTGTCTTGAGTGGGCACTGGGCATCAATCACACTGACCTTGGTGCGTGAAGCGGGACCTGGGTGTGAACAGTGTCATGTTGGCACGGTGACACTGCTCTTGGCCTCATCAGGAGGACGCAGAGGGCCTGCTCAGGCCTCTAAAATTGTGTCTCAGAGCATCTCGTGGGCACTAGGAATGTAAACACTGACTCTGGCGAAATTCTCTGTAGCCATGGGCCGCACCCATGGGTGGCCTGGGGGAGATGTCAGCACCACTGAGTGGTGCAGAGAAAGAGCCTGAGTGAGGTGTTCATCCGGCTGCCCCTAATCTTTGCTTGTCCGTTGTCAAATACATACATCTTATCGCTGTTTTGTCCAGTCTTACTGGGACGTCAGCCACATTCAGCCCTGTGTCAGGTTAGAGTTGCCTTTTCCTGTTTCTCCTCACTTGACCCTGGTGGTGGGCACCCTCTGCCCCCTGCCATCTCAGTGTAGGGGCTCGCAACCCAGGACAGGCTCACTGTGCATTCGGGCAGATGGCAAAGAATCTCGGTGCCTTCAATAGATTTAACAAGCTTTTAACTCTGAAGCAGGAAACCAGGAACAGGCAGAGGGCAGGGGAGCTGGAGGGTACCTCTGGTCTCTCTGGCTTTCTCTCTCAGTCTGCATGACTGGTCTTGCTCACCCTCTAGCTGTCCAGTCTCCTACTGTCTCACCTCTGGTCCCAGGTGTCTGTGTGTGCCCCGTGTTCGTGCCCCCAAGTGCCTCTTGCATGCCAGCGTATCACACATGTGCAGTGAACCTGGGGTCAAAGCAGGGCTCTGGAGACCAGCAGTGGCGCAAAAAGCTGGATTTGACTCCATTTCACCACTTACCAAAAAGTCTTAAGAGGAGACCAGTTTGCATGATGGGCACACACACACCTTCTCACAGCACTGTCAGGCCTGTGTCTCCACGTGTGTCAATTTGCCTAGGGAAACACCTGGAAGTGTGCACAAGCCGGGTGTAAATGCATCTCTGCCATGGTGGCACACCTATATAAATTAGGGCCTCCCCTTACAGACTACGTGACCACAAAGATAAGATCAGTCAAAGCCATTGTTGTTTACTCATGTCTCTCTACAGATAGAACCATTTTGGAAATGCCCATTGTTGATTTTCCAAAGTAAGCTTGAAAATTTTCTATGCATACAAATAAGATAAAGTTTCCATGGTCCTCCCTGGTGGTGCCATGGGCTAAGGTGCAACACAGGCTATCCTCCTTGTCTGCTGCATCAAGAGGTCAATTCCCTGCCAGGGAGGGGTCCTCCCCTGTCACCCAACTACTCCCTCAGCAGTGTGTGCCAGTCAGTTTGCCTGTTCTGTCTCTGGGGAATCCTCTCCCCATTCCCCGCATCTCTGGCCTGTACCCCAGTTTTTGTATGCATAAAAAACTAAATCTCAAAAAAGAAAATTAGATAAGTTTCCTAGCATGTAATTGGTGCTCAGAAAGATTTAAGCACTTCTGTTGAAAGCTTAAAAAAAAATAGCTGGATTCACTTGCAGATGATGGAATCCTTTTTCACCCTTCATTGGTTGCAGGTGCCCAGGTTAAGATGCTGTTTCCTACAAGAAGCACCCCCCAAAGCCCCCAGGAATTTGCGGTTGGGTAAACTCATTGATTAAGACAGGCCAGTTTCTGGGGACTGTTTATATAAACTCACACAACTCAAAGCCAGTTGTTAGAATCTAGTTTCATTCCCAACCCACATTTACCTGCATTATATTGATTCTTTGATCTTATTGTCAGTGCACTTAATTTCTTTCTGCTTGGGTTTTAATAACTAGAATGATACTTGACACGTCTCTTGCCCCAGGGGCAATTGTTGCTATTAATTGGTTGGTAAAATGCCTTTTGAACTGTTCAGATGAAAGGCTGGTTGAAATAGCAAGTGTTATTTGTGTTGTTGTTGACCTCACTGTGTGAGTTTGGGCTACCCACCACGGTCTTGAAAGACACGGAGACCTGCACTTAAAATGTTTAAGATGTTTCCTTTCAAGACAAACCGTAAGCAGATATTTAATATCCGGAAGTCAATGAGTTTCTCTCCCAAAGGGGCATTCGTCTTCAATGAGAGAACTCTGGAAATGTGAATCCTCATTTATGCACCTCACTTCTGGCTGGACTTGTTGACATCTCTGAGAAATTATCCAAGAAATGCTCCAGGTTCAGACTGCCCATACACAAGAATAAAGCACATTGAAATTTGACTTCTTCCCAGCCACTTTGGTGACTTCTGCCAGTAGATTCAATCTTTTGTTCTGTTAGTTTTAACTCCTCTTCACACAGAGGAACTCAGCCTGGGGCAGTTTTTTCCCTTGCACCCACCCTGGAACCCAACCCCGGGTGATGCTAGTCAATGCCTGAGATTTGGATGCCACAATTGGTGCTGATGTCTGGAGTCCAGGGATAATGCTAAATATCCTGATGTTTTGGACAGTCCCTCACCCCTCCCTCCCCCCCCCCACAAGGAATTATCTGGCTCAAATGTCAACAGTCCTAAAATCAGAGAAGTCGATTACACTCAATATGCAGTATCCTTCATTCATCTTCAATAACCAAACTCTCTCCTAGGTTGGTTCACCATTGTTGACGTCTAAATACCTCCTGGATCTCTTTATAGGTTGGCATTGTGGGAAGAACGGGAGCTGGAAAAAGTTCTCTCATCTCAGCCCTTTTTAGATTGTCAGAACCCGAAGGTAAAATCTGGATTGATAAGATCTTGACAACTGAAATTGGACTTCACGATTTAAGGAAGAATATGTCAATCATACCCCAGGTATGCAAGTCAGATCATTCTTCATTCTCACATGTTCTTTTTATAAGGGCACCTAACTTTAATTGCTTTTAATTTTATTGCTCTTTTTTTTTTTTTTTAAATGAAAGGGTTGAGCCTTTCCCCCAAGTGGAGCACATCTTTAACAGGAGGTATTTTCAGTAGATACTGGGGGAATGGGAATGATTTAGTAACTTACCTAGATAGAGTTCTTGGCGCAAACTTCCCCCAGGTGCCACAATTTTATCCACTAATGACCACATAATTTTGAGATCAAAATGATAAATGGAAAAACAAAACAAAGTGATATATAGTTCCTTTTTTTTTCTCCGCATGCTAGTGGTATCTCTAGGGAAACATTGGATTTTTAAATCTCTTAATGATGGAACTTTGCTGTCATGACAGAAGCTACCTTTTCTTTGGTAATTATCTCCATGGAGGGATTCTGTGCGGCTCTGAGAAGGCAAAGAGCTCTCTGAGAGACTTTAGGATCTCCTCACTGTTCGTGACATCAACCTAGTGTGAACCGGAACAGTGAACGTGATCCCAGGGTGTAGTTTCCTCACCTTCCTGCACTTCAGTGTGCATCTTTGAAGGCAGCTAACAGCCCGTGGGTGTGGAGAGCTTCCTGAAGCTGTGATGGTCTGAAGGCTGAGTGACCATCTCCTGGGTTTTGATTCTGTTTTCTTTTATTCTCCTAATTTGAAAGGTGGCTGTAATGAGTGTTCTGGACATTGGGTGGTATGCTGGATTGCCAGAGAAGCCCCTGTCGTTCCTTGTAGCTCCCTGCTGCAGCATAAGTTGGAACCGTATTTACAGTGTTAACCACAGTAGGCCCTGTGCCCTGGCTGGGACTGCGGCATCAATCCCCATTCTTCATCCTGCTCTCTGCTTCGACCAGTTACACATTGTCAACTCTAGACATGCAAACATTGTTTTTGTCTTTATTTTAAGCCTTTTTTGTTATTTGCTATATGCCCTACAATCATGTGATTATCATGAGGAGCTAGGAAATACTCAGGCTCTCTTGAGATGTAAAATAGGACATGGTGCATAAAGAGGTGCCTGAGCTCCCTGGCATCTGGCTATCAAGGCAACATTTTTTTTAAAGATTTGTTTATTTATGCAACAAGAACTGGGGTACAGGCCAGAGATTTGGTGGGTGAGAGGTTTCACCAGAGACAGAGTGAGGAGCAGACAGGCAGATGGACTGAAATACACTGCTGAGGGGAGCAGTGGGCAGGTCAAGAGAGGTCTGCCACATCATGTGGGTCAGCTCTCTGGCCTGGAATTAATCGCACACTGCAGTGGCCTCAGACAGCTTCTTTGTGCTGTGCTTCAACCCATTGCACCATGAGGGAGGGCCCTGAAGAAACTCTTAAATGGCAAAGAAAAATGTAGAACGTGGTACTCGAAGGGAAGGAGGGGTAGTGTGGGCTTGATTCCTATCACTGGGTACAGCTTTGGCTGCCTACCACTGATTTCACACTAATTTAAATTTGAAATAAGGAGATCCATTCCAGAACAATGAGATCTGACCACATGCTCATCAGGACCTACACTAAGCAAAGAAAGCCAAAAGTAACACGTGCTCATGCTAACCTGGAGCAAGTGGAACCCTTGTGCGTTGCTCGAGTGCAGGGTTTTGCCACCTTAGAAAACAAGATGAGGGCCCCCCCAAAAGTTAAAATTAGTATACTCTTAGGTTCCAGCAACTTGACTTCTAGGTATAAAGAAAATACATGAAGGCGAGATTTTGAGGGGTGTCAGCAGGCATGTCCGAGGGAGTCTTCTTCATAGTAGCACATAAGACAGAAGCCACCCCAGTGCCCATGGTGAGGTGAATGGAAAGCTAAAACGTGGTTTATTGTCAACTGTACATGCAAGGAGATCTGGATGCACGCAGCTATGCAAATGCCTCTGAGCATGTCTAGGTGAAACTGGCCATTTGCTAAAGGACAGATACCTCTGATTCCCATTACATGAGCTTCCTGGGCGAATATTTGTTGCCCAGAACTGCGGGGACGTAGGGAGTGGATTAGTGAGGTTCATGGTTTAGGTTCTGCAAGATGAAAGGGGTGTGGTACTGGGGGGTGGAGGTGATGGTACTGGAACACACATATGTTGAACACCACTGACGTGTACTCTTAAAAATTTCAAGATGGTGCATTTTATGTTATGTGTGTTTTGTCATAACTGAAAAATTTTTTTAAAGATAATCCCTTTCAGGAAAAGGGGAAGAATTTCCCTCTACCCACACCATCCCTGCACTTAAAGATCCCTTCTCGTGCTTCAACTTCTGGCTCTCCTGTTGCAAACAGGACTTTAAATTCCCCAGTTTTCTATCTTGCTGGTCCCATCTCTGAAATGGGCGAGAAGAGATCAGTGAGCAGAAATAATGAAAGTGTCTGTGAAGTGCTTTCATATCCCCGGATGAAAGGATCTAGAAACATGTCCTGTGTTACTTTGAATGCTTCTTAATAAGAAATGGTTGTATCCTCCTGTACATAAAAGAGCTCTATAAATAAAGAAATAACGTTAGATGATTCTTGGCTCTGGCTATGATGTTTTGGAAGCACATCTGAGCAAAGGCTAAATAGACTTTGACATCACTAGCTTTTGGTTGTGTTCCATAAGTTTCCACCCTATTCTTGAGCATGCTCTGTGTACCTACTCCAGAGAGCATGCTTACAAAACAGTGCTGAGCTTTGTATCCATGTAGATAATCATCACCCACCATTGTAAACGCAGAACCTGTATTTTTTTTTCTTTTTATTCTCTCTCTCTTTGTCTCCCAGGCTCAATGTTGGTTGATTAAAGGAATCTGGGGACCCTGAAGTGTGTCAGGGTTCCCAGGACATGTATCCAGGAGGCTGCTGGAGCTGTCTCTTTAGTATTGTAGATCCACATTTTTATTTTGTTCTGTCTCTTGGGGAGTGTGTGACCTTGAGGCAGTCACTAAGCTTTCTGTGCTCCTGCTGATTTGTCCTTCAGGCAGGTCTATGGGTCCTGCCTCTAGACTGTCCGTGGAGATGGGGTTCAGAGAATACCGGGGCCCCGCGCTTGGTTTGTGGGACTAGCCAATAACGAGAGGGGTGATTGGCGATCTGAGCTCTGGCCTGTCAGGTGTTATTGCCACTCAAGTCAAAAAATAGTAGCCCATTCTGGAAGGACTCTGCTCTTTCATTTCTATTTTTGTTTTTGTGGACCTTAGTGATGTTCTTTACATTTATTGCTTATAACATAAACCAAATGGTTTGTATAACTTTGAAAGAGTGAAACAAAAAGAAATGAACACAATGGGAGTCCTCGGGAAGGCCCTACCGAGAAATCTTCCTGACATTTGTCCCGCGAGGAGCCAAAGGAGAGAGTGTCTCTCTTTTTGTTTGCTGGCTCCCTTCCCGCCAGGGTTCTGGCCTCATCGTCACTCTGCACCCACTAAGATTTCATAATCCCCATGAAGACCCGAACTCTTTCTCAGCCCTCCACCTTCCCGGTTATTTTCCACCTCTCCTTGAGGACAGACTGGGTTTCAGACTGCCTCTCCTGCCTGTTGCATCACTGACAGGTGACACCAGTGTTAAGGCTAATTCCTCACATTGGTGGAATCCTGCATGGTCTGAGTCTCCTTCCCAGTCTCCTCCTTAATCCTCCCAGCAATTCCATTGTTATTCTTATCTGACTGATGCAAAAACTAGGTGCAAGTAGCTGAGATCACCTCACAAGGAAGTAGCAGGCCAGGACTCTTAAGGGAGGGGAGATTCCCAGCTGGAGAGCCCTGTTTCCAAGCAGGGCAGCTCTGTGTCCTCACTCCAGGCACACACTGTGCTCCAGTCAAGTTCATAGTAAAGACAAAATGACAGTCATGAGGCACAAAATGGATATCACAATCCATCGGTCCCACCTGCAAGTGAAAGCCACTGCCTGCCGCTGGCCGCTCTGAGCACCTGTTCATCCATGTAAACACAGGCCTGGGGCTTCCTGGGTGCTGTGGCTTCTCCCAACAGCTCTGGAGATGTCACCCCAATTTCCAGTCAGGAAACCAGGACTTGGGAGGTTTCAGTGGTTGATAGCAAATCAGTAATTTGCTCTGAGGCAGACAGCTAAGAAGCAGTGGAGTTAGAACTTAACACTGGCTCCAAATGTCTGTGCATCCACACATCTGTGCAATGTGTGTATACAGGCATACGTCTCATTGCAGTACATGTTGGGTAAAATGAATGATGTTCTAATCCAGTACCTTCTTACTCATTTTCTTCCCTACTGCTCCACTCAATAAGGATTCTTGAAAACTGGAATTAGAGAGATACATTAGAGAGCAGTGGCCAAAGAGTGGGCCTTGCTTTAGCCGGTGAGTGGTTTGCATCAACGTGACAGGAGATCGCAAAACTTAAAGTCATACTCCCCAGGAAAAGAAAATCAATGTAGAAACAGTTTACGCACTACATGTCAGGGCCTGGTTTTCAATCTTAACTGCGGGCTTCGGACTCATTCCTGGGGTGGGGTGGGGGTCCTGGCTGCAAAGCTAGAGGTCTGTCCCAGGGTAGCTGAAGTTACCTGTGTACAGTAGGAAACTCTCATGCTTTGTTACTCACCTGAATAGTGTTGCTTCCGTCTTAACAGCCTAGTTCAGGGCTCCCAGAAAGTTATTGCTGTGTCTACGTGGCTGGGACCTAGGGCCTCTTGCTTGAGTTCCCAGGGTTGGGTCAATTAGGCCCCACTGTTTGGCTTATAGCAAGAGTATAATGGACCAGGTGAGAAAATAATAAGAATAATGAACAGCCGTATACCAGAGACATTTTATGTGTGTGGGGGGGAGGGGAAATGGGATAAAAAACGGGGGTGGGGGGGGAGTGCACAGGACTATGGTGATGGCACACGGGTGACTCTGTGATGGGAAACCCACAGGGATTACAATTGAGATGAAAAAAAAATGTACAAAAGGATGTAAAAATAAACTATTATATTATATAAAAAAAACTTAGGCCCCACTGGGTGAGCTGGGCTGGGACCACCTCCCTGGCCCCCTGTGGTGCTAGCCAGGCCTCACTGAGCTTCCAGGGTATTTCCTGTAGGCTCCCCATCACCCTTTAACTGTTTTCAAGAACAGTCAGGATCAGGGATACTTTCTGGAAGAAAGGGAGTGAAGTTCTAACATGATTTCGGCCAGCCCTGGGAAACTTTCAAACACAGATACAGTTTTTAACTATCCCTAAGTCTGTGTTTGAAACATCAGCCATGGGAGGTGGTGAATGGGTTCCCAAGCTATTTCCTTAAACAGAACAGTAGCCAGAATGGAAGCTTCCTAGCATGCTACTCATGCCTCCCCACAGAGCACACCAGTCATTAGGACAGTCAGGGACCAGCCTGCAAACCTGAGAGAAGTCAGCAAAAAGGGATTTCAAAACTTCTTTGGCTGGATCTTCATACCTGCCCTCCTCCCCCAGTCCCCAAATTGGCACAGTGTTTGCCATGGAAGACAGATTCCATGTAAATCCAGTATTTATGACATTACCCCAAGGCACAGATCAACAGCTATCATCATCACTGAACTGACTCACTTTTCATGTTCACTCGTTTTTGTTTTGGTCAAAGCAAAAAGAAGGGATCTTTCCAACAGCCGTTCTGCTCTTTGGGGGATTTTTGTCCTCTGGGTTTCCTTTGGGGGGTGGAAAGGGTTAACCAGAGCTGTCTCTTTAAGACTTCTTTTTTTTATTACCTGGTTTTCTTTACTTTTTTTTTTTCTTGCTGAGAACAAAACTCCCAGAGAAAAGAGGTGGGTATGCTGTTACTAGTAAAGAAATACAACTGGATTCTAGCCTAATGCAGTGAGGCCTTTGTTTCTGACACTGAAGTCTTCATTAAAGCATTGGCTCAGCTCCCTGCAGCTCCTGACCTTTTTGTATGGAAAGAGGACTTTACAGGACTTAAATTCTTTTTCCTTTGTTGGAGAACAATGTTCTTTTCTTCTGAATATGGGTGATCATCAGTTCATTCAGAGGCTACAGGATTAAAAAAAAAAAAAAAGGAGAAGAACACAGCAACAGCAGAAGGGAACCAAGATTTAAAAGGCTTCAGGTGATACCCTCATTTCTGAATCCTGAGCCAGCTGCCCTGAATTAAGGTCCCCAGATTAGATATGAAACTATGGCTGAGATCACCAGGAAGAGCAGCGATAACTTCTGTTTCCGTAGGGTCCCTGATAGTCCTGTCCTGGGCTACGCTGGTTTATAACCACCTGTGCAGCCTTTCTCTCCGTCTAGGGTCCCTTTGAAGGTTAGTGGTTAGGAATTTTGGTTGAAATCCTGCGACATTCATCTTCCATTAGCTTCCACAGAAGCTCTGTGAGGGGCACAGCCCTGCATTGTGGGAGTCGGTTAGCTACCCCCTCCACGTCATGCTTTGGCAGTTTCGGGGTGACACAACTCCTAGGAGCTTCCTTTACACTAATAACAAATGAAAAAATATATGGCTCCTGAATCTCCTAGAAAAGATAAAATTTTAAAAGCATACTCTGAACAGGGATGCAAACCAGGTGTGGAACTAAAATATTACATTGTGTTAAAACAGTACAGTGGGGCCCTCCCCGGTGGCGCAAGGGGTTAGGACTCAGCACTGCACGCTGGCCGCAGCTGCCTGTGCGTGTTTGATCCCCGCCTGCCCTGGAGGTGACCCACATGGCACAGCAGACCTCTCCTGACCCACACCCTGCTCCCCTCAGCAGTGCACTTCAGTTAATCTGGCTGTTCTGCTCCCCACTCTGTCTCTGGTGAAGCCTCTCACCACCCCTGCACCTCTGGCTTGTACCCCAATTCTGTAAATCTTTTTTTATTTTTTCTAAATAGTACACTGAAGGAGACTTTTGTTTTCTTCAAAAGATGCTGTGCCACCCCATTAAATAACAATGACTCGTGTATCTGCAGAAAAAATCTACTTAAGTAATAAATTGAGCACCCGTTTGTGTGAAGGTTGTATGTCCCGTCATAAATCTCTCCACTGGAATGTCCTGCCTGGATACCTTTTTACAACACTTTTTTATAAGATTAGTTTATTAACTTCATTGCTGGGAGGTGGATTCTTTAAATAATAATATCTATCAGAAATGATAATTAATTTGGCCCTTATCGGCTCTTGTAGCATGTGTCTACCGTGAGCATTTTTATTGCCTTTTGAAGATAATATAATGGTTTCTTATTTGGCAAGTGGATGAAAGTAGGGACCAAAGTGAGCACCACGCATAAAACACACTGGCATATTAGAACAGATGTCGTTAACAAATTGCCTGCTGGTTTTGAAGAAAAATACAGCTTCAGTCCATGTTTTCATAAATCATTCTTTTCATTCAACAAGTTTTGATTGAAATGTTACTCTTTTTGAAAGATGTGTTTTGTGTGGCATAACCTAGGAAAATATTTTTACTTTCTATTTTCGTCCACCTGCTGCTGCTAAATAAACACACAGGTAATTGCCTAACAAATCCTTTTAGGTTGACAGTATAGATTTGCATTTTGGGGTCCTCATTGCAGAAAAAAGGCTTAAACTTTCTATTTCTTCCTTTTATAACAAACAGCAGTGACCAGGGAATAATCAGCAAAGACTCCTTAGAGCCTGCAGTGTAGCTGTGGTTTCGCAGCTCAGTTAAGGTGGCTGGAGGCTTTCGCCAGGGCCTCAGAAGTCAACTAACTCTCTTTCTGCAAAGATTCTGCGTTAGTTAGTTCCCTGTCTTTGGAGTTCTTCGCCCTCTTCAAGCCATTTCCTTAAAGAGAATCAGTGAGAGTGGTAAAGAGAGACCAGATGAGGAAATAAGTGACTGAACTTTAAATGAAAGTACATTCCTGTGCCAGTTCCCTGGAAGTACATTCCTGTGCCAGTTCCCTGGAAACCCCAAAACACTATTCCCAAAGGCCTAAGCCCCGTACCCCTTACAACCCTGCAGGAGGAGAAAGGTCTGTCTTTTTCAAAGGAATGCAATTTTTTTCAGACACTAGCTGAGGTGACACTTCTGTGGAATGACTCTATAAGCCTGGGAAATCCCAGGACTCTTAGCAGATGTGAATTTGCCCTGAGAGGAGCCCAGAGGGCCTTCAGGCCTGTAAGCCATGTGGTCAGGCAGGGCCCTGCGGTTAATATAAGAGGTGTTCTCACTCCCTCAGTCCCTTGGCTTTCAGTTCTTCCCGCTTCAAACACCTTCCCCTGGAGTCTTCCTTGGGGCCCAGAGCAGCCTGCTACCCCTACTTAACAACCGGTGGGGCCAGGTGGAACTGCAGAGACCAGTGAGGGATCCTGCTTGAGCCTTGCAGTGGCTCTGGCTACACTAGGATTCTGTATGCCCCACTGAAACAACTAAAGGGAAATAAATCACCTCCTTGTCAGGAAGGTGAGAGTTAACAGTTCCAAAGAGGAAATAAAGGATTTCTTTTCAGAAACTTGAAATGGAATCCCCCTGACAGAATTCTTACCATCATGTTCATGGCTATTTGGGTCTTTCATTTTAAATTCAGTACTTTACCAGGGGTTTTGAGGCTTTTCAGTTAACTTTTGTCATCATTTAGAAATATTGTATAACCGTCACTCCCCCACCCCCCCCCATTGCTTTCGGGCTAATGATGCCAGTTAAGCAACTTCACATGAATAAAATGTCTCGTTCGGTGTCTTGCTTAGGAGTTCTTGTTTTCTGCACCTATTTCTCTCATCAGTTTTAGCACATCAATAATGGATGACCACATGGGTGACTCTTTGGAGCATCGTTCCTCATGGCTAGAAAAACTCTTCCTTGTCTGATTTTTGAACAACAAAGTAGGCCCATTCGTCCACAGAGCCAGGCATGATTTGAGGCTGTTGATTCCATGCGTGGTTCTCGGTGCCTGTGGGAGAGGCCATGCTCTGCCTTCTTTGAAAATAGCCAGTTGGGCTCCTCTTCTGCTCAAATTCTTATGGTCTAGGTTTCCAGAACCTTCCAGAAGGAAATTTAAAGGATCCATATAACTTAATGTATAAGTGTCTTGTAACTTGTACTTCAAAAGTAAACCCACCATGGTTCTTCCTTGAACAGATGAATAGGACGAATGTAAAGTAATTTTATTCTGGTGTATGAGCCAGTGGGGTTTGGGTTTTCCTGTCCTTACATTTAATTATGAGGTCCCGCAAGTTGTATAACCCTGAAGTGTTGAGAATCAGAGGCTATCTCTTCATGAATAGAGTGCCCGACCCCGTTTTATTCTCTTTAGACAGCAACAGGAGCTCCCTTTCACACATGTGGGAGCTTCACAACCCTGCAAGATTTTTACCAATGGAGGTGGTATCCTAGCTTATTCTTCAGAGCAGATAGGAAAAGCTTTAATAGTTTTGTGTTGGGGGACACCTTTAGGCTAATGACATTAGTATTTTCTAGGCTCACACTTGGATAGACTATCCATTTATATGGCTTTCTTGATATAAAGGTCTCATAATTATATCCTTGTTTTCCCTGTGTAAGCAGGTATGACCTGGAAGACATTTTTAAAAATCCAACCTCCTCTCTCTTCATTTCTTGTTAAAATGACACACTTCAACAGTTTATTCTTGTGTTCCATGACCCAGAAAATTTTCTGGGAGCATGCTTTTGACACTGGACAGTTGCTAGAGATGTCATGTTGTAAATAAGCACTTGCACCCTGACTATTGAGGACTTTGGCAAAGTTTTAGAAAGTTTTTATTCTCTTCCCCAACTTAGCACTGGAATAAAATGAAAAGAGGGTGAAGTAGTAACATCTACTCTTTTGGGGTATCTAGGAACCGGTTTTATTCACTGGAACAATGAGGAAAAACCTGGATCCCTTCAATGAGCACACGGATGAGGAGCTGTGGAATGCCTTGAAAGAGGTAATGTTTTTCCCAACATGTTCTTGTTCGCACTCATATTTTGTACGTGTGCATTTATAATACTGCAGGCGATTGAGGGGAATGTGTTGGTTTAACTGCTGTCTGCTGAACATCCAGAAGATGCCTGATGGCATGAATACATTTACAATGTATATATTGATGATGGAAACCAAAAAGCCAAAAAGCAACTAGATACATTATCAGACTTGTCCTTAGTAGAGCCCTAAAATAAGTCATACCTTTGGTTTCCAATTCTACAAGTGAGCTATTGACCTGCAGCATTTATTATATCTCCTCTATTCTCAGGGAACATCTACTAAATGAACACAGTCATGGCTTTTCACTGTTAACTGAAAGTCATGCTACTAAAATGCCTCAAAATTTTCTAAGAAAATGCTTATAAAGGCAAAAGATATAGTTAGACTATTTGTTGCCAACATGTCCACTTAATGTTGCAGGTTGAATGCAGGTAACAGAACTTCTGAGCTTTTGCTGTTTTTATACTGATATGTTCATTTTTAGAGATTTTTCTACCATCGTTGTAGTATTTCCCTGAAGACCACATCTTTGCATCTCCTTCCCTTGGTATCTAAAAGATGGTGACACTCACGGTGCTGTGGATTTGAGTATTATGTTTATATTTACACTAATTTGTTCTCATTCATCACATCAGTTCTAAGATATTTAATAGCAGACACCATAGCTAGATGTCTAAACTGTCACGAGATTTCAAATCCATCCTAAGACCTGGGTCAATCTTGCTTTTAAAAAGTAAACACTTAATGAATACACATGGAAAGTCTGTTTGATCTCTTGATTTCATACAAGTGTGGCTGGTTTCTTTAATACACACAAGCACACATTCTGGCTCAGGATGTTATTGTGATGAACCAAAGTCTTGTATCACTGTAGTGTCACTCTTTTAAGGTCAAGTGTGAAATTTTTACAGATGAACTTTGTGAAGGTGAACAAGCAGGGTTGGAGAATTGAGCATCTTCATGTCAGCCCAGAGTTTCTTTACACACCCAACCCACTTCCACCCATGGGGAAGAAAGTGAAATGAAGTAGCCTCTTGTTACTCTAAAAATCATGAGGTTTGGTCGAGGTGGTAAACCATACTGATAGCTATCTTCCTCTTTAGCTACATTTACAACTTTCAGCAAATAGAAATACACTTGCACTTACTTCTTGAAGTGAAGCACAGAGTTCCATCTGAGCCCTCTGTATCATCATTTCATCATGTAGTTCTCTAGGAATTATTGCTTTTTGACATTTGTTTGTTTTTGTTTTTGTTTTTGTTTTAAAGATTTATTTCTTTATTCATACAGAACTGGTGTACAGGCCAGAGGTGCAGGGACAGTTAGAGGATTCTCCAGAGACAGAGTGGGGAACGGAACAGGCAGATCTACGAAGTACACTGCTGAGGGGAGCAGCGGCGGGTCAGGAGAGGTCTGTTGCGCCATGTGGTCACCTCCGGGGCTGGCGGGGATCAAACTCATGCAGAAGCGGCTTTAGCTTCTCAGTGCAGTGCTTTAACCTGCTGCGCCACCAGGGAGGGCCCATTTGTATGTTTTTAATGAAAGATATGGTAGATTTTTCTAAACAATAGGAACATCCCTGTAGTTACTGTATGGTTTAGCTGGTTTTTATCATATACATAATCGAAAACCTGAACCTATGAATGGCAACCATAATATTAACTGATTACTTGTGGATAATAAAGCAGTGAGTAGGGAGTCCTCCTCCTCTCCTCTCCTTTGTTTCTTGGGCTTTTTGAGTTCTCCAAATTTGTACTATGTGCACATAGGATTGTCACCCGGAGGGTTCTCCTGGCAGATGAAGCTGTGAAGACTATTCAGAGTAGAAGGCATCATGGCCACTTGCTGAGGGCAACCATGCCTGCAGGTCAGGCTGTCATTGTGCGGTCCATGGGAATCCCTGGCATTCCTGGGGTTTTACTCATGGTGTAATATCCTCGCCTTCATCTACAGAGACATCACATAAAGGACTCAGCACACAACTCCAGCACCATTACAGTTCCTCTGGAATTTTGTCATATATAGTCTATTTGCTGTCCCTATGGCTTTTTTCTTCTCATTATGTCCAAACCCATAGATTGTAACCCATCTTGGGCTCTAATCACGGGGACCCTGTCTCCACGGCTCCCTACCACATGAACAGCAAACCCTGGATGTCTGGCTTATATACACCAACAAATGGGAGTGGAAACCCAAATTCATGGGGTCCACTCATGTCCACTCATGCGTCAGAAAGAGGATGAGATGGATTTCCCTGTTGAACGGAAACAGCAAAAAGATTCCCTGTTTTAAAATCCATGGTTTTGACCCTCCTCCCTGAGAGGTGAGGGAGAAAGTCCCATGGATATAGCCTATTTTGTCTTGGCTGTTTTTAAAATATTCTGAAAGTTGGCCCTCCCCAGTGGCGCAGTGGGTTAAAGCACAGCACTGAGAAGCTAAAGCCACTTCTGCATGAGTTCGATCCCCGCCTGCCCCAGAGGAGACCACATAGCGCGGCAGACCTCTCCTGACCCACCCTCTGCTCCCCTCAGCAGTGTACTTCGTCCATCTGCCTGTTCTGCTCCCCACTCTGTCCCTGGTGAATCCTCTCACTCTCCGCATCTCTGGCCTGTTCCCCAGTTCTGTATGAATAAATAAATAAATCTTTAAAAAAATATTCTGAAAGTTGCCTTGTCTACCGAGAAATTAGTCAACGGTAAACTCAAATTTTATTAGACATCAGTGCTGAGTGGGGTTGCCACAGAGAAAAAGAAGCTCTATAAATCCCAGTCATGACTAGAGGTGAAATAGTTTATCAGCCAAAGGTCAGAAGATCACAGTGGGTAAGTGAGAATGAACTGGCCGCTATCGTTTTGGGAAAGCAAAGCAAAATGCAGCTTTAGTGCTGGGTCTACTACGTAGAGCGCCGCTGTCATGGCCAAACAGTAAAGACGCCATCAGGCAGGTGAGCAGTGACAGCGTTGCTGCCACACGCCAGTGTCTCATTGATCAGGAAACCAAGACAGGAATGCCGCAGTGGGAAAGACGTCATTCAGTCCACGCTTTGACACAGGCTTCCATGTCTGCTGGGCCGTGTCTGTTGGTAAATGCCCCACCCTCTCCACTTCATTCCCATTTTGTTTTCCCGGTAAGGCTCCTCCCATCTGCTGATACATTTCAGCGTCTCGTGCTTCAGCCCACAACCGTCTTTCTTTTTGAAAAGGTCCATGAAATACAGTAATCCAACATGTTAACCCTCAAGGGGCACTGGCCTGGTGACAGAACACAAGGTGTGTTGCTTGGACAATGTTGATGTGGCAGAAATGGGTTGTGTAGTCGATTCAGTTTGTTATTTTCAGTTTTGCTGAAGTATTTGATACATAGATGTCGAGTTGTGTGTATTCGTGTTTGAGCTGTTTTTCTTCAACTCTCTGTTTTCCCATGCTTTTCGCATTTCAAAAGAATGATGATGTGCTCTCTGGGCACCAGATAATCTTGATAAAGAATATACTTATTTTTCCATGATGGTTAGTAGGAAAGTAGAATTTCATGTAAAGAGGACTATCTACTTGGATTTATCTTTTAGTTTAGAGGAACATATATGTCAGAAAATAAGAGGTCCTGGATCTTCATTCAGATGGCCTAGAAAGACCTACTGGGGTAGACACCTTCCTGGGGTTGATGCCACCATCAAGAGAGGCCACGTCCCTACCCTCTGGCAGCTTGAATTCTCAAGGGGAAGGTGACGAGCAAGCCGGAGCATGTGTGATATAATCCTAGCACTGGGAAATGCAAAGAAGAAAACCAGACAGGAGGAAGAGAGGCTGCTGACATCGTTGGTATAACAGGCAGGGCCTGCGCTCTCCTGCTCTGTGCTAAGCTCTGCTGTAAATTTTCCACTATTGACTCATTTGCACTCCAACAGTGTCAGGAGGCAAGAACCTTTGTTAGGATGGCATCATAGTCTTGTTTATAGGGTCAGCAACCAAGATAGATAAAGTCCAGGGTGTCCAGGAACTTGTGCCAGGCTCTCAATTCTGGCTCCAAGACTCCAGATTTTTTAATTTTTAAAGAAATTTTAAATCTCTCGTGCTCTCTCTGGTGGTGCAATGTGTTAAAAGCACAGCACTGTGATGCTCTCCGCAGCCACTGCACTATGAATTCAATCCCTGGACAGGGATGAACATGGTGCAGCAGACTACTCCTGTCTCCCACTGCTCTCGCCACTCTATCTCTGGTGAATCCTCTCACCCCACACTGCTGGACTGTACTTCAGTTCTTGTGTGCATAAATAAATAAATAAATAAATAAATCTTAAAAGAAATTTTGTTTTAAAATTGCAGGAAAGCCAAAGAAATAGTGAAATATGTATATACCCTTTGTGCAGGTTCAGTAGCTATGACTATTTTGCCCCATCTGCTTCCTCTCTCCTACAATCTGTGTTATGTTAAAATGTTTGAAAGTAAATTGCAGAAACTTTCATTGAAAGTTGCAGTGCTCACCTGCGTAAGTGTACACCATGTACACACACACACATACAGACACATACATACATTCTCCTCCATAATGTCACTGGATTGATTGCACTCACTCAGGAAATGTGCTGTAATCTGTGCTGTTAGCTAATATGTGTTCAAGTCTGGAGTTGCTTCTCATAGTCACTAGTTGCTGCCTCCTCTTGCGACTTTTGGTTGGCCCTGATGCTTCATTCTAAGTCATATAAGAACGACAGGTGACTCCACACAGGTCTGAGACTACCAGTCCTGAGATGGACATGAAAACATGGCCACAGAACACAGGATTTTGTGGGACACAGGTCCATAGCTCTTCAACGCACAACCTTTTTCCTGGGCAGGCAGCTGCAGACACCCCGGGAGGGTCAGAAACCCCATGAGTGCGACTGACCTGAGTCAAGGTGATTCTGTAGCCTGGGATGTCACTCTCAGGAAAGACCAGTATCAGGAAAGACACATTTATTCCCTGTCAGCGCCGCAAAAGCTGGTCATCACCTATCACCCTTCTGTTTTGCTCAGTTCCACGAGCGGTTTTTCCCCCGCCCCCACCCCCCGCCAATCTGTGATGTTCCAGTGTGTGTCCTCTTCCTTGCAATGGTGGGGGGGGGGGAGGGACTGGCTAGGTGAATGTCTGCTGTGTCATAAGCTACAGTGTGACCGCTCAGCACCCATCTAGAACCCCAGCCTTAGCTGTTTTGTGTTCTTTAGGTGAATGCTCAACCTCACTCACGTATAAACCATTTCATGGGATTGGATTTACATCATGTGTGCAACTCCAAAGCACTTTCTGGGAATAGCATTTAGGAGCCCTGAACAAATCCCCTCCCTGACATGGTGACCATCTATCCTCAAGCTGCTGATCCCCTCGCCTAAGGTTGGGGTTGCCCCACAAAATTTCTCCAAAATAAGACTGAGTGAACTGGGCAAACACCTGTACCCCTTGTAGTTTCCAGTTATCTACAACTTTTTTTTTTTTAACTTGGAATTTCATGAAGATAGATTCATACAAACACCATCCAGCCCCTTAATCTAGGAGAAGAACATACCCTCTTGTGCCCTGTTTTCATAAGTTTTCATTCACATGAAAACATTTATGAGATCGATGTACTCGACTGGTCTGGCAGTATGGATTAATCTTGGGACAAGCTCCAAGTTTACTCATAGATGAGGTGCAGTTTGCCATTGTAAGACTCTGTCTCATGTATTTCCTTTAAAATCTTCCCAAATGGTAAAGTGCCAATAAGATTCTATCTGGAAAGACCCATCCCTCCTGCCATAATTCTTCAAGGTGTGGAGATTATTTTATTCCCTTTGAGCAGTGAATGAACACGAAGGCTTCTCCTCCTGCTTGCCAACAGTGGCTGTTCTTTTTTAGATTGCTAGCTATTGATCATTTTCTTTTCAGAGACATGGTGGGTTCTGTCTGTTTGTTTTGGACCAATGATTCTCACCTCTGGGTCAGGTGGGTCTCCCGGAGACTTTCTGAATAGCACTCTAGTCACAGCACCAACTAATCCAACTGATTAAGTCAGTCCCTCCCCAGGCAATTCCAGTGTGCAGCCATGGTTGACGGCCACTGTTTGGGAGTTACTTCTACTTTATGTTTTTGTTTTGTTTTGTTTTTAAATTTTTTTTTTTCTCTTTAGTGTTCTAATGACTGGGCAAACGTTCTTTGGGAAACTTGCCGCTGCCATAAGATTATTCTAGCTTTCTGTTTAGATTTGGCAAAAGTAGCTGCCTGCCTTGCCTTTCCCCCGCAACCCCTGTACCCACCCTCTCACTTGAACGAATCCCTCAGGGCCTCTGGTTACGTCTTGCTATAGGGCTGGGGGATAAGGACGCTGAGATGATTTCTTTCCATCAACTTTATAAAGGTATAATTTACATGCCAGGAAACTCCTCCATGGTAAGCATGATTCAGTCATTTGGGTAAATTTATAGTTTGTACAACCATTGTTGAAAATCCAGTTTTAGACCATTTAAATCATCCCCAGGAGTTCCTTCTTGCCTCTAGTTAACTCCTTCAGCCTCTAGGCAATCTCAATTCTGCTTTTTGTTAGGAAAACAGGGGCATTTTCCATTTTGTTGTCCTACTTTATCTTCAGAATAATTTTGTTTAGCATCCTGTTTATTTCTTGCTGAAATTGGCATAGCACAAGCAGACTGTATCGCCTGACAGCAAAAGAATAGTGTTGACTCCCATTAAGTTTTTGGTAGTAAGTCAGAATATTTCCACCCTGAGAGGACTCTACCAGCTTTCTCCGTGAATATTAGTTGGGTGAGACTGTCCCTGTCACGTGACTGTGCGTAGGTTACTGACGTCCCCAAGGACATCAAACTCAAATGCATGGGAGGCTTATCGACTTCTCCAGTTGTTCAGGAATGGGACATTCTTCTTTCCACATCCACAGGTGCAGCTCAAAGAAGCTATTGAAGATCTTCCTGGTAAAATGGATACTGAATTAGCAGAATCAGGATCGAACTTTAGTGTGGGACAGAGACAGCTGGTGTGCCTCGCCAGGGCTATCCTCAGGAAAAACCGGATATTGGTCATTGATGAAGCCACGGCAAATGTGGACCCAAGGTATGGAGGTGGAATGTGAATGTTTTTAGCAGGACATGCTTTATGCTGGTGAGGAATGTGGCTGGTGCTTTTTGCCCCCAGATTTATCTCATACTAACATCAATCATGGAACAGAGACGAAACCAAAACAAGTTATTTGCTGTGTTAATAAACGAAGTTCTCAAATGTGTAAAGCTCCAGTTGACTTTACTGAACAATCCATGAATCGAGCAGCACCCTAGATACTTATAGGGTTCCCACAAAATGGAGGGTATGTGATAGATAGATAGAAAGTGAGGGTTAAAGGTTATTTGTAAAAGATTATTTTGATAATGTCTCCTCCCCATAGGACAAGTAAGAGGGCTCTTATATTTTATTTTTCAAGAACAAAACCATGTCTTAAAGTATTAAATTATACACCTTGTAAAAGTATCATGCTTTTTTTACATGTCTCAAAGTCTATCTTTACGGAATGAAATGTACCTCTTTGATTCTAGAACTGATGAGCTAATACAAAAGAAGATCCGTGAGAAATTCGCCCAGTGCACTGTGCTCACCATTGCACACCGGCTGAACACGATTATCGACAGCGACAAGATAATGGTGCGTGCTTTGCCTGTGGAACTCCGCTCATTTCCACTTATGTTCAGTTTTCAGCCTAATCTTCCTTGTAAAACTTGATATTGTCTCCACTGAGTTAATTTTTAGTTAATTCCTCCTCTCATTCCTGATAGTAGCTCAAGTACTTAACTGCATGTTCAGGGTGTGCTGTTATATAATATACCAGGTAGTTTCATGTTTTATGTTAGAAATGTCTTTGCATTGCATTTTTCTTTTTTTAATAAGCCCACCACAAAAAATACTCCAAATAAGCTTCCATACTACAGAGTGGTAGAAGACAGTGGTTTTCACTAAGCTGTGGTTGTTTCAGCAGTTTGGATTCCCTTAATGTAAAGATTCTCCTTCATTTAGATGGCCAGGAGGCTGTTGAGTCAAGTCGCATTTCTCAGCTGTTGGGATATTCACAAGATGTGCTGTCCTAGGGAGTCTATGAGAAGGAGCAGTCAGAAACACAGAGGTGTCAACAGTAAGGATTGAAGATAGGAGATTTATTATACTGGAATTAGGAGCCTGAAAGGAAGCACTGAAGTGATCTTTTTAGGAAGCAAATACTTGGCCTAGGCAAGTCTCCAGATCAGGGATTCAGTAGAGATGCCCTGGGAAGTCATTACTCCGACCTCTAAGTAGAAATCATAGCCCAGCTTGTGCTCACACATGAGAAGGAGGGATTAGGAGGAGGTGGTTCTAAATTATAAGCTAATAAGAGGTAGAGGATGAAGCCAAGCCCCACTGTTGGGGTGCTGGCAGGAGCTGGATGTTGGTGGGTGGCCTAGACCAAGATGTTAGCAGTGGAGGTGGTGAGGTGGTTGGACTTAGGATAAATCAGGAAGGTACATCCACTGCAACTGTGGGATGAGTTAAATGTGGGACCTGAGGAAATAGAGAAGAGTTGATGCTGGGTTTTGGAGCCTGAGCGTCGAAGTCAACAAAGACTGAGGGAAAAGTGGGTTTAGAGCAGTTGTCTTTACCATGGCTGACCCTGCTTTCACTATAGACCCCTAATTTTATTGTAGAGCTGTCCTTCCACTCCCAATATCTGTGTTGGGAGACCTTCCAGTCTAGGGCTCTCCAGCCACCAGCTCATCATCTTAAACCATGACCAAGGGTGAACACTCTAAAAGGGGTCCTGAAATCCATGCACAAAGGCAAAGCAAGCATAGTCTCAGTATGATAGGTTGTTGTTGTTTTTAAGGATTTATTTATTTGTGCATATAAGAATAGGGGAACAGTCCAGGGGTGTGGGGTGGGAGGAGAGGATTCACTATAGACAGAGTAGGGAGCAGAACAGGGGATCTACTGAAATACATTGCTGAGGAGGGGAGAGGTGGAATCAGTTGATATCTGCTGGCCATGTGGGTCACCTCCCTGGCTGGGGATTGAACTCATCAATGGCTGCAGATAACTTGATAGTGCTGCACTTTAACCTCCTGCGCCACCAGGGAGGGCCCGGCCAAACAGGCTAGGTCTGATGTGGAGCTACAGAGGTACAAAAACCTCCCGCAGATCTAAGGTATCATCTGGTGAGGAACCACAAAAGGTTAGGCAGGTTCTAGAGAGCTAGGAGATCAGGAGAGAGGGAAATTCCAAATATAACACATAATCCGATGTGAAATTCTGACAGTGATGGCCAGGACCAAGTACTGGCTTCCCACATGTCTCACCCACATGTCTCTTCCAGATATCTCCGCATCTCTCTCTTCCTTGTGTCTCCTTCCATGTCTGCCCTCTACAACTCGGTGCAAGTTGAAGCTGGGGAATCTAGAGCATGTGCCCACGTGCCTTCCATGTTGTAGAGATCCACTGGGCCTCTCAGTGCCACCCCTGTTCCCTAGCGCTTCCTGCTCAGGAAGTCTGGTTCATGGCATACTAGAACCTATAGCCCCAGATGACTGCTCTGAGCGGGAGCAGGGAATATGGCGCTGTGTTGTCCTGTTCCTTCCCTTTATGGAGATGTTCTGTAGCAGTGATACTGAAAGGTGTTAGACACTCCTCCACTGGCTGCAGAGATGGCATTTTCCTCGGTTTCATCCACCTCAACTTCATACCTACTTTATTCTGGAACTTCTGTTTACCTGTTGGCTTTCATTTTGACAAAACACCATAATTAATGTTCTTTCTCACACCTTTGTTGTTTTTCCCAAAGTTAAGTTTACTCAGGTAACTGATTTATACGATGATCATGATTTAGGGGGTATATATTCACAGCTCTTCAATTGTATATTACCACACCATACCCCCTCTCCAAAGCACTCATATCCCTCCACAGTCATCGGACCCCTTCACCCTTTTACTCTCCACCCGCCTTCTCCCCTCTGTTACCCTCATTTCTGCAGTCTATGTCAAACCTTCATTTAGTTTTTGAAGCCTATGTATATAGGCTATGTATATCAACTCTCTCTTCCCCCATCACCCACATTCACATATGTGAGCGCGCACACACACACATGCACAATTTTTGCTTATTTGCTTTGGAATCTCTTACTTCCTTCCCAGAAAGCAGCTGATCATTCTGTTCTTTTGAGAGCTTTAAGGACATAGAGACAAGTCAATCAGCTGAAAACCTAATGCTCCTGGAGGCAGGAGGCCAGCCTCAGGGAGGGGCTGGGGAAGTGACGGGTGTTAATGAAGGGACATCCAACAGTGTTGTCATCATAAAGTCGTGTAATTGCAAGTGCTTAAGGTGTAATAATTACATTTTGTTGCACTGGTGAATACTTCTGCACAAAGACGGATGGATATGGTTTTGTTTACTGTAAGTAAATCAAACAAAAGACTTGTTGGGAAACAACTGTGACCTAATTAATAGCTTTGTTTATGTGTTGGCTCTCCAAAGGGATTTACCCAGTTTTGGTTCATTAAGCGCCATTAATGGGTTAGGCTTAGAATTCTGTCTTATAAAGATGTTCTCCCCATTTCAACTTTATTAAACATGATGTAGTCATAATGACAGCTAATTTAATCTTCTTCATTTGCTCAGCTGCCACACAACAGTGGAGCAAGACCGACAAATTAGAAATCCTCTTGCTCCTAATGCTCACCACTATCTCTGCACTAAAGGCAGCTTCTTCCCTGTCATTTTCAGAATTAGCTAGCCACTCGTGACCTGTGTTCAGCCAATTGCCCAGCTCTTTCTTCCAATCCCTGCACACCTTGGCCTTCCTAACCCCCTGGGAGTGATCCACCTCGGTGGTAGGAGAACAGAAGTGTGTGACACTGTGGCCTCCAACCATATCCCTGGCCTAGAGCTACGTTTCTCTATGGGCAGTGTGAGAATCCTTGGGAATGGATAATGGAGCACGGGATGGTTTCACCTCTTGTGTTTGCAGGCTGTCTAGCCTAACCTCTCACACCTCTTCTCATGGAGATATTCCATGCAAACTAGAAACTTATAACTAATTCTCCTGGAGACAGACAGAATCGATGTCAGGCTAAATAGGCAGTGTTATTTAAATTCCATTTTTGACCTTCTTGGGACTTTTAATAAGCCCAGCTGGTCTCAACGATGTTTCTAGAAAAAGTTTTCAGAGGGACAAGTGGCTGCCGTGCAGGCGGGAGGCGCAAGCCAGGGCCGTTCGAGAGCCCTGGGTTCACGGGAGGCGCCTGGAGCTTGGGGAGAAGCCGCTGGTGGTCACGCGAGCCAGGCTTCTCCTCCCCCTGGGGAAGAAGGGGTTTGAGCAATACCAAAAGGCATACCAAAATGGAGTAAAGCCCTAGCGTCTTGCCACAGAGACATCAGACACACCCACTTTACCAACGGGGAGCCAGCCTCCAAGATGGGGTAATCTTCCAAGCGCGCTCGGCTGCCCGAGGCAGGAGTCGGAAATTCAGGGCGTCCTCCCCCTCCGCCTGCAGCTCAGTGGAATCTCCCCCTATTGCTGCTGTCACCGTTTGGAAAAAAGTTCCAAGCCCTGTGTGTCCTCCGCCCTGTCCTGCCTCTCACCTCTCCCGTAGCCACCCCTTGATCACCGACAGCGTCCTGCCAATTAAAATGGATTAAGTTAGTTTTGCAATGGGTCCACCTCGTGTGCATATCTAGGACAGCTACCTGGACTATCTGCTGATCCGCAGCTGGGCTAACACCTCCTTATTGCCTTATGTAACTGGCTGACTCACCCAGCCTAATGTATTTTTCCTTAACCCACTAGCGAGTGGCAGTGATTCCAACAGACATTTCTGAAAGGGTTCCGGGCCAAGGGACGGATGTGACAGATGGAAGTGTGTGGCACAACTTAATTTTGGAAAAGTTGAACATGGAGCAGGAGATTCCCAGAGGCCTTTCTTACAGATACTAAAGTGATCAACCAAGGTTTTCCCTATTTTCCTAACCAAAAAGAAAATTGGGTTAGGATAAACATTTTTTTGTTTATCCGTTCTCAAAAACCCAGAATATATGATCAAACTCGTAAATGGAGGGCCCACCCTGGTGGCTCAGCAGTTTAAAGCGCAGCACAATGCAGGTCTCCACAGCCACTGTAGCATGAGTTCAATTCCCCGCCAGGGAGCTCACCCACATGGCGCCGCAGACCTCTCCTGACCGGCCCCTGCTCCCCTCAGCAGTGTATTTCAGTAGATCTGCCTGTTCCACTCCCTAGTCTTTCTCTGGTGAAGCCTCTCTCCGGCCTGTACCCCAGCTCTGTGTGCCTAAACACATAAATCATCTTTAAAACCCTTAACTGGAAAGGCTAAGTGGGTAAGATTGTATTCTTGACTTGTTTTGTTTCCAGTTCTATTCCTTTTTGTTCCTTTCTTCTTTCACAGTTCTGCTTTGCTCCTTTCCACTACTTGAAGTGCAGTTTCAGGCCTCTCTCTGCTGAGTGTGTTCGCCTCCCAGACGCTCTTGCTGGCCTCTGGCCCCTCTAAGCCATAACTGAGCTGGTTCCCACAGACACACACACTCCCCCCCACAGCCCCCACCACCTCCCCATCCCCACACACACTCCCCCCCACAGCCCCCACCACCACCACCTTGCTCTTACCGTTCAGTCTTGCCAGACTCCCACTGAGCACTTCCAGTCATGCCCTGGATTTAGTTTCTGTGGGTTTAAGGGCCTAGGAAGGCAAGTGGATAAGGGTGGCCACAAAACCCAGTCCCGGAAGAGCTGGTGGGCTCGTCTCCAGCCCTCCTGGCTCAGGTTGTCACCCATGTCAGGACCAGCCGCTGTCCCTTCACCCCAGCCCATCCCTGTCTGTCCACGTCTGTCCATTCTTGAGCACTCTGGGTTGCTCACTCCTTCTTGAAGCTCATCTTCAAACGTCTGGCCAGAGGCCTTCTCTTTGCTAATCTCCTTAGGGTTGCTTTCTTGCATTATAGACATGAGTGTTTTCTTCTCTTATCTCTCAGATTGGCTTTTTAACGTTAAGGGCTGTGACTTCCACATCTTCATTTCTCCCACCACATTCATAGCATAAATGAATGCAGCTAAGTGTGCAATAAACATTTGCTGAATACATTCAGGAATTAGAGTTTAATTTCTCTCAAATGTGTTTTGGCCAAGGGCTTCAGGGCTGCATGCTCTTCATTAATTCCAAAAGTTGAATGGAGAAGGCTTTTTCTTTTTCTGGGGATAGATACAAGTAAGTAATTTGAGCCTGAGTATAATAAAATTAGAGTGGGAAGTGGACAAGGAAAATGTTTATGTTTACAGACGTTTTCTTGTACACAGATAATGTGTTATCCATATGGAAAGGTATCTTAGAAAACTGAATGTTCAATTCCTCATTTCCTTTATTTTATTCCTGATAATAATAAACTAAAACTTCTGCTCTGAAAACTCACCTGGGAAGGAAGAATACAACCTTAAGCCTAGGTTCAAACCCAGCTCTGCTACCTACTGATTCTGCCCCTCAGCCAAGTTATTGAACCTCTCTGTACCCCAGTCCTCATCTTGCTAGACAGTGTTTTGCTCAACTTTGAATCTCTCATTGCTACCAGAGAGTACTGGTGCTCTGTATTCAGAACCGGATGGGTAGGTGGATGGATGGACAGATGGACGGACGGACGGACGGACGGACGGATGGATGGATGGATGGATGGACGGACGGATGGATGAATGGACAGAAGGATGGATGGGAGGGAGGTGGGAAGGATAGAGGGATGAGAGAGTGCAAAGAACAAAGAAATGACATGGGTGAATGGGAGAAAAAAAGGAAATTACCTACCATGTTTGTCTACTATATCTTGACCATTAACAGTGATGACTGCAAAGCATATGACACCATGAAGGCTCCACCACAGCCACTTTTATTTTCAAATGCTAAGGACTGCTGTGTTAATTATGGGGTGATTTTATTGCGAGGGCACCCCATCTCAAGCCTTGTGAATTCATTTGGGGCTAAAATGCGGTTCATTTTAAGATTCTATATTTTGTTTTAATACATAGCAAAAGAGTAGGAAAGGGGTACAAGTTGGATTTCACATTTTTAAAGTGTTATCTTATAGAAGTTAATGTTTACATTCTAATGATATAGAGCATTGTAACAATTTTTTTCACTGGTCACACCCCCATCCCCAAGTTGAGAATTCTTAAAAAATACAACGCAGGGCCCTCCCTGGTGGCACAATGGGTAAGGACGCAGCACTGCAAGGTGGCCGCAGGGCTTCAGTGGGAGTTTGATCCCCGCCCCGGAGGTGACCCACACAGCGCTGCAGACCTCTCCTGACCCACCTTCTGCTCCCCTCAGCAGTGTGCTTTGTTGATCTGCCTGTTCTGCTCCCCACTCTGTCTCTGGGGAAGCCTCTCACCGCCCCTGCACCTCTGGCCTGTGCCTCAGTTCAGTATGCATAGATAAATAAATCTTAAAACAAAAACAAAAACAAAAACATAGCCCAATAAATTGTCAATACTTTGAAGGCTCAGAATACTGGGCCAACGTAATCTTCCTGCCATTCATGTGGTAGATCCTATTGCTTTTTTTGAACATATGCTTTTCATTCTGGCTCTGCCTTTTTAGATGTGTCAGTTTCGAGAACTACTCAGCTCTGTGGCATTTGTGTTTTCAGATAATAGAGTAATTAGATTTACTGTTCACTCAAGTTTGAATAAAACAAACTTGGACGTGGGCAAGAGATTAACGATACTTTCCATAAATATTACATCTTTATAGCCAAAGAACTTGTCTTCTCCGAACTCTGAGATGGTGTCCTTCAAAGATTTACTTATTGCTTTTTGCAGATATAAAGTTCGTTATTGTAAGAAGTAATTTGATTCACTTATTTCCATAGTCTTTAGCATGAGGGAGACCAGTACTTTAAAAGTGAATTTTTTTCTTCTTTTTTACTGTCGGGAGGGTTGATTGTGCTGTATAATGCTATGCTTAAGTAAAATTACACATTCAGGACATCTAAATTGGCATGCCAAATTATAGGACATTTTAATTATTATGTCGATCTGACAGATTCAATTATTCTTGAACTCTTTGGAGAAAGCTGCCCTAAGCAGCGATTCACAGTAGTAAACAAAAGATTAACAGGAGAAAATGCCCTTTATGAGACTTAATAAATGTTTCCGGATAAATCCCAAGGAACTGAATTGACTGCAATAACCCGATGTGGAACAACAACCTGTCCCTGCGTAGTCTCAGCCTATTCTCCTGAAGCAAATGGGCTCTAAAGATGACCTCACTGAAGAACTGAGTACAGCTTAACATTGGCACTGCTGTCCTGGGCACATCATTTGGGCCAATTGTTTCGGATTCTTCCCTCTGAAGCCATTAGCCAAAGCCACTAATGAGTAGAAAGGCAGAGTTAAAAGGGCCTTGCCATTGCCAGGGGAAGTATTAATGGGCCATGAAATGGCTCAAAGGAGGCAGCTGAGGAAAGAGGGAAGGAAGCGCGGGAGAGGTGGAAGCAGACTGAGCCTCAGCCGTGTCCAGGGGCTGCCCCGCCCTGTGTGGGTTGTGACCCCTGGAATTCCCAGCTCCCGTTCCTAATTGCTTCTTTGGTCTTATCCAAAGAGAATACTTGATTTCTAGAATTCTTCCGGGCAAAGCACTGAAGCTGAAGCTGCCTAGGTAGCAGCTCTTTGCCTCAGCTTTCTCTTCCCAGAATCCTCAGCTCTGGCAGCCTGAGCCCATGTCCAGATGGCCCTCACCTTGCTGACCAGGGGTCTATCTTCCCTCCAAGGTGACCTCTATTCCAGGACCAGAAGGAAATTCCCAGAGCATCAGTTTTTTTTTTTCCAGATACTGCTCAGACTCTCTGAAACCAGCACAGCCTTGAATTTGCTGCCAGGTCACCGTGATCTAGTTTGTTCAACTTACGCACCGGGCGTTTTTGATAAACTGAGCTTCATTTTCTTAAATCAAGAATTAAACCAGATCTAAATGTCTGCTTAAGTAGCCCTCAAAGCTCAGAGGCTGAGAGCTAAAAAGCACTAACTAATGATAACGGCCCAAATACCCCTGGTGGAATATAAAATGCCGCAGGACTGCTGAGTCCCCATAATAATAGTTTAAAACTTTCATTTTCTTCCTTTCCTATAACATTATAATAATAAAAGGTCGGGGTAGGCCTTTGTCTGTTGAGTCAAACGGGGTAATCAAACCCTTTAAACACCAGCCAGGCCTTACCACCCAAATAGATTCTCACTATTCTCCCTCTCCACCCCTTTCCGAAATATTGTCTGAGTTATAATAGGTTCCTGCAGAACATTGTGCACTAATGGGTTTCTTTCTGCTGATTAACAGGTTTTGGATTCAGGAAGACTGAAAGAATATGATGAGCCATATATTTTGCTGCAAAATCAAGAGAGTCTCTTTTACAAGATGGTCCAACAACTTGGTAAGGCCGAAGCGGCCGCCCTCCTTGAAACAGCAAAACAGGTGAGTGCGCCGGCGAGGACTGTAATTAACGCTGGTCTCCACCACACACCCCTCGCGAGCTGGCACCGGTGGGGGTAGTAACGAGCACCCTGGACCCTCTTCAATTACAAGTCTCAGAGACATCTTCGGGACGGGTGCTTAACCACACGTCCCAGATCGAAGGCCGTTCTGCTGGGGTCAGCAGAGGGTGTGGGGCGTGAGCCCGACAGGTGTGCAGGCAGGTGTGTGCCATGGACAGAGAGAGTGACACACTTGGCATGAGCTGGGGCTGTGGGCTCAGGTCCTCACGCAGCCCAGAGCACTCCTTCAGGCCCGGCGTGTTGCAGAAGGAAATAGGAATGAGGTACATTTGAGCAAAACACGGTAGCTGAGAATGACAGGCCTAGTCCAAGGCGTGCGTGGCTTTTGTTTTCTGTTTCCTACACACGCTGACACTTTCTCTCCAGATTTCTCCCTAATCCTGTCTGGTTTAGAATTAGGGCCCACTACTCCGCTCCCCAACCCCTGCCAGGATCCCCCACCCTCTACCTTCTAGTAGGTGAAACGGTCACCAAGACAGAATCTAGAATTGACAACACCTTAATGCGAGGTTCTGACAGAAGCCTATGAAGCATTTGTGTGGAGGTTGTGTGTGAGCAAGTAGGATGCACTCACTGAGTTGGTAGCTCACGTGTTTGCACTAACATCAGCGGCCCAGGAGCGTCGCCTTCTGTAGCTGGCTTAACTGAGGTTTGGGTGAGGCAGAGACTGGTCCCCATCCTGCAGCCACCTCTACTTTTGGAACAAGGTGGAAGTGTGCTGAATGGAGGCGTGGAGGAAGGGAAGAGAAGGAGCCAGCCCACACCCCATCACAACCCTTTCTCCCCAGGCAATACCATGATGGGTGTGTTTCTTCCTTCTTCAGACTTTGCAGAATTTCCCAGGTCCTCACTGAAAATAGCACAAGTCATGTGTGTAGCATTTAAAACATCTATTAAAGGTGACCGTGTAGGAAACCGTGTCCAGTAGCCAGCGGTCCTGTCTGAAAGATTTGGCTGAAACACGCCTCGCTCTCTTCCCATCTCGGCTTCATCTTGTCCCTCCTGAGAAGCGAGTACTGTGCCTTCCCTGCTGGTGGGCCGCTGTGGGAAAGCCCAGGTTGTTCAGGCAGTGGGGGTGGGTGTCACAGCGTTAGGCTTGTGACATGCGCTTGCCGGTCATCCATGGTATAACCTCAGAGTTAAGGGCACGTGGGGTACTCAGTACTGGCTGAGCATAAATGAGGGGCAGGTGGCTTGACCCTGGTGCCAGGCTCTGTCCTGTCGTAAGTTCTTTTACCTTCAGCTGTTTGAGAGGCCCGAGACTCAAGGAAGAAGGAAATTGCTCGCCAAGTGATGGCTGGAGTTCATTTCCAGCCTGAGTTTGGAGGTGTTGTGAAGCCTATGTTCTCAGCCCCTCAGAACATGATACGTGAGTGAGGAAGGAGGCTCGCTCTCAGCACAACTTCTTTTTCTGCCCGAAATTTACCTGGTGCTTTCATCTGCGAGGGTGTCTCCAGTCAAAGCTTCTCTCATAAGACCCAATCAATCATTTGGGATTCCCTGTCTAATCTCGTCACAGAACAGCTAGGAATCTTGCAAACCCTTTCATTGTTTGACCTCAGGCACTTGACATCAAAGAGATGTGTCCCCACCTACTCGTCAAAGTCTTCTCCATGTAAAAAAATGCACAAGCATTATATAGCAGCAGGGCGTTGAGTTTCAGTAGCCCCAGATCACATTCTACAGGTGAGGAAACTGGGACCCTGTACATATAACCCATGCTTTACCAGTTTGCAGCAGAGTGAGAAATCCGCTCTCGGACCATACACTTAGAAAACTCGTGGTTCCTGGTCTAGTCATCTTGTTCCCACCTTACTATTTCATGGCAAGTCACTTTTCTGTAGTTCTTTTTAGTTCACACACTGTGTGTTTGGTTCTTGCAAGCAGGAGTTCACTTCTGCTTCCAGCTGTTTGGCTTTATCCAGTTTCATGGGTAAGGAGATAGATCTGGGTCAGGGGCCGGCTGAGCTCACACAGCTAGTCAGTGGAAGGCAGACGGGAGATTGCTGGGCGAGCTGAGCCCCACCCGAAGGACCCTTCAACTGCAGTTGCTGCCCTTCACCTGGGATTTCCCAGATGGGGCCCATTCCACCTTCAGGTGGTGGCACTTATGGATGCAGTGACACTGAACTCGGGTTGCTTCTATGGAATAAACCTCCGAAATGCATGTCTTGATGCTGACCCAGTTAAGTATCTTGACTTTTCTGTAAGTTCTTGGTTCTCGCAGGAGAACCAGCTGTCAGGCCGTTGCTTTTTAAAGGTGTGAGCATCCAAAAATGCAGCATTTAGAACTGTACCAGCAGGCGGCTTCGCTGGGATTCACACTTAGGTCAGGCACTTCCCGGTCACACTTGCTAGGCCACAGAGATGCTTTTATGGAAATGTTGGTGCAGGTGAGCTGAAGCTCTTGCTAATTCACCTTTCGTGGATGATCCATGAAATAGCAGTGAATGCTAGAGAGGTAGAGCTGGAGGGTTAGTTTTGGGGGGCTGTCCCCCAGACAGCTACAGAGTAGGTGTTGTAAACAATAGGTCTGTATATACTTCCTCATGCTCGTTGAGTTCGACTTTGGAGATCAAGATGGTTCTTCAAGGCATCAAGTTTTTGATGGATGGTATGTGTTAATGCAATAAGATCCAAAGCCCTCAGAATTTTTTTTTTTTTTTAAGATTCATCCATCCATGCATACAGAAGTGGGGTACAGGCCAGAGGGGCAGGAGTGGTGAGTGGACTTACTAAAGGCAGAGCAGGGAGCAGAACAGGCAGATCGACGAAGCACACTGCTGAGGGGAGCAGCGGGCGGGTCAGGAGAGGTCTGCCGCACCATGTGGTCACCTCCCTGGCCCGGGATCTGAACTCACGCTCAAGTGGCTGCTGCCAGCTTCACAGTGGTGCATCCCAACCTGTTGTGCCACCAGGAAGGGCCCCACATTTATAAATAAAATGTAAGTGGCTCCTGTCACTATGACCGATCCCAGGGAGGCTCCTGGTGCTGGTACTTTCTGTACATCGACAAGCGCCCTCGAATGTACGGCCTTTCTGTTTTTTAGGCACAGATAATAACTGTTCCTTACTTTTTTCATTTAATATAGTGTCTCAGATTGTATCAGTAGATAAAATTAACTCATTCTTTTTAGGAAATGAGTTAACTTTCTGTTCTTTCAACCTCCGTTTTCCCTTCCAATTGACTATTAACTAATTAACTGATTATTAACATTAATGAACAATTAACTAATCTCTGAGACAACTAGGTCTTGTATTCTGTTTTATAATCACTTTCTGCTTTTATCTTCATTAATTCCTTTCTTCTTTGGTTTATTTTGATGTTGCTTCTTGTTAAATGCACTTGTTTTCCTTCTTTTTATTAATATAAATATTTGGAAGCTGTGACCTTTGCTCTGAATCCTGTCCTAGCCAGATCCCAAGCAAGACTTTGGTGTGTCATAGTTAAGTTTTTAGGCAAGACTTCTGCAATGTGACTTGAGCAAATTTTTTTTTAATTGGCTGAGAAACTGTGTGATGGCAACAAAAAATTGCATTTGTGTTATGATTAACTTATCAATTTCTTAAAAGAAACAAATGCTTTTGAAACGTAAAATAGTACTTTGTAATTTTATTAATGTGTATCTGTGCTGTTCCTGCTCATACATAGTATTTATTGTTTTTGGTGTCCTAATACAGAAATGACTTTTGTGAGTGTCCTTTGGGCATTTTAAAAGATGGGCTTTTGTCCAAGGTGTACAGTTTAGTAACTTCATCAGGTCAACTTCAAATTACACTATGGCAGTCTTCTCTTTTGTTATAGTTTGATCCATTTGATACAACTGGCTCTAAGGTGAATTCATCTCTCTCAGTAACAAGCTTCTTACTGTAGTTCCTATCGATTTTGTTTTCCTAATTGTATGCTATGATTTTTAGACCACAAATAATCATAACTTGGGTTGTCACTGAGAATAGTAATCTCTGTTCTTTTAAGTGTCTTTCTTTGGTTCATGTGATGCTTTGACCCTAAATCCAAGATGACTCAAAATGAAGATGGAGTTCCCTGCTTTCACCTTTTATGGGAGGACTTTGCCATTGGTTGTCTCTTAATATCAGGCTGTTGATAGGTCCCCTATAAACAGCAGGTAACTCTATAGCTTATTAAGGGAGAGTTCTTTGGGGCCAGACTCCCTAACTTATCACATGAATATAATATGTGACCACTAAATCTTTAAATTTGCTAGTTATGCAATTCTTTGGTCACAGTTTGTTTGACTTAGTGTATTATATTCTTTGCTCTAAGGTCTTGTTGAATTGTTTACTCATTTGGAGAAATCTTAAATGACACTTCCTAGATCTTCTTTCTTGAACCCCAAATGAGTCTTTATTTTAAAGGTCGTTAGTTTTTCTGAGGAGATCGTGTACTCATTTGCCCTTTAAGCCTTCTTTGTTTCTGGAAAGTTGTTTAAGTCATGTCTTGAAAGTGTTTTTTTTTTTTTTCTTAAATGACTTCTCTTTATGAGTATCTATTGAGTATATGTTGCATATCCTTTGATTATTTGTAAGATTATTTTCTTTTTAATTAATTTTAATTCTTAATTTTAGAGGTGTATTTATGCACACGGGACTGGGGTACAGACCAGAGGTGCCATGAGTAAGAAGATTAACCAGAGACAGAGTGGGGAGCAGAATAGGAAAACTGACTGAAATACACTGCTGAGGGGAGCAGCAGGGAGACCGGAGAGGTCTGTCATGCCACGTAGGTCAGCTCCCTGGCAGGGGATAGGCTCATGCTGCAGTGGCTGCGGACAGCTTGATAGCGCTGCGCTTTAACCCCTGTGGCACAAGGGAGGCCCCTACTTTTAATTCTTTATTAACTCCAGTTATTTCGTTTGCATTCTTCCAATGCCGTGCATGGTGTCCCATCCTGTTTTGCAGCAGTAGCTAATCTTTGTGCTGCCTTCGGAATTGTCATTTCTTTGACATTTTCATTCTTCTCTTCCACTTTACCCGTGGCCTTTGTAAACTCATGTTTCATCATCTTCTGTTGCTGTGTCGTGTTTCCCTGTAGGCTCAAGCTCTGCTGTCCAGATTGATTGTGGTAATACATTTTCTCTGACTGCATTACATATTTTTCATATTTCATCGGTTCCGTATTTATTCATCCATCAACTACTTGTTCCTTTTCCTTGCTTTTATTCTTGGTACTCAGTAAGTATTGAGTTTTTCCTAGAGCTTATGTGACACACAGTGAGAGGTGTTGGGTCACTGAGAATGCAGGTTCCTGTAGTTATAATGGGGCCTGAATTTCAGGGATGGCTACTCTCCTAGGACTTCCCCACAGCAAAATGGTGGTTCAGCCGGACTCCTCATTGACACATCTCAGGCTGCCGGTGAGAGCCACTCTGGTCCGATCGCTCAGGTGTGCTCTACCAGCCAGCCCTGCTCCACATTGCGTCTTGCCTTGGTCCTCTTGGACCAAGTCTGAGTAGTTTGCCTTGTAATTCTTTATATGACTCTTGATCTCATCAAGGATTGGGCTTCCTTTTTATCTCTCAATCATCTTGCTGGTTTAGGGTTTTTTGTTTTTAAGGTTTATTTATTTATGCATACAGAACTCTGGGGTGTAGGCCAGAAATGCAGGGGTGTTGAGAGGATTCACCAGAGACAGAGTGGGGATCAGAACAGGCAGATCGATGAAGTACACTGCTGAGGGGAGCAGTGGGCAGGTGAGGAGAGGTCTCCTGGGCCATGTGGGACTCCTGCTAGGAGGGAATTGAACTCATGCTGAAGTGGCTTTAGTTCTTAGTTCTGTGCTTTAACCCACTGTGCCACCAGGGGGAGGGGTCTTTAGGGTGGTTTTTAAGAGAATAAGGAGATAGAACATCTATTATACCATTATCTCAAAAGCAGAATTCTTGTAATACACCCAAACTCCCCAGACATGCCAGTTACGTACATCACATTTCCATCTGCTTTAAAGATGAGTTTCAGAGTTACCAGGATGGAATGAGGGTCATGGAGGTCTATGAGAATGACCACAATCTTGAGCCCAAATTCCTCATATCTGTGGCACCTAAAGGAGACCGTGAAATAAATATCCACTTTATCTACAGGGGGAGTGTTTCTTGCTCTGTTAGGTTCAGTAAGATAGGATTTCATGATGGTGGCTTGCGAACAAGCTAGAATTTAAAATATTAACACTTAGTGTTAGCCTGCATTAGGGGATCTCTTAATGGGCTAACCCCAAAGAGAAGAAGCAGCCAGAAGGAAAGCAACATTCACTGCTCTTACAGTCAGCTTGCCCTGACCTGGGATTCTGGTAGTGTTGTCTCCTCAGACCTCCCGACCATTCACATCCTTACCTCTCCTTGACAAACAGAAACGCTGAATCTCTTCTCCAAGTCCAGTTAGTATGTGGCAGTGCTCCGACTGCCCTTTTAACTACCTTCCTGCCTCCCTGTTTGCCATTACCGTTCAATTTGGGGTGACTCAGCCAGGACTTTGAGGTTTTGCAAAGGAAAATCAAAATATCCACAAAAGGGTCTCCCAGCTGTTGTTGACATCATTCAAGCCATTGTTGCTGTTTTCTGTGGACTGAGGGGCAGCTCACCAAGCACTCAGAATCACACCCAGCATTTAGCCTGGTGTGTTTGCACTGGTGTTTGTAGCCATTAATTAGTTCCTGTGAGGTAAAGCCATTGTTGTCTCATTTCACACTTGAGACAGCCATATGGAGAGAAGAGGGCAAGTGTCTTTTTCAGGATCAGCAGTGAGGCCCAGGAGAGGCACTGAGGGCTGGATCTCCCTACCCTGGCTTAGCCCAAGATACGAGAATCCTAGGCACCTCCACTGTCTTCCCTAACCCACACTGGGAAAAAGATGCCTTCTCTTGTGTCAAAAAAAGGAAAGTCAAACCAAGGACTTTATACACAGAAAGTTTGTTTTCTTGCTCAGTTTCAAGTATCTCAGGCCATTAAGCCAAGACCATTCAGTTAAAAATTGTTAATTTTTTTTAAATGACATTGAGAGGGTTGTGGGGAATAAGAGCTTCTTTCGGGAGAGCTGTCAAGCAGTAGGAGATGAAGTATATTCCTATCTGTTCTTTGGGTCACTTTTAATTTCATCAGTATTTTTTTTAATATGTAAATATCTAGCTCCCAAAATATGACTAACTTCTAAAAAATTTAAGGTGGGAGATAAGATAATATTACTTCCTTTAAGATCTTATTTAATTAAAACTCTCGCAGTATAATAGAAATAGCTCCCCCATGTCAGCTGGAAGGGCAGAGGCATAGAGAATTCTTTTTTTCCTTAAGCTCAGTGACATAATACATAGTGTTTTATAAGTAATGATTTTATAGAGAAGCAATTGGCAAGAGAAAAAGCTCATACACGTAATATGAAGCATTTTTCTTTCTTGTCCCTGAAGTCCATTATCTCCTATGATGGCTTTGTTAACAGCACCACAAATGTATTGGGAGCCCAGTTATATAAAATGGATCCAGAACCATCTAAGAGATCCAGCCCCTAACACTTGTCGGCCTCAGACATATGGTACATTTTCTGTTTTAAAGACTCAAACAAAACTTTGCACATGCTTCTTTGGGGGAAAAAATTGCATTTGAAGTCCTTTTTTCACGCAAACACATTTTGAGATAAGAGCTCACAAGTCCTGACATTATTTCATTTTGTTATGTGCATCTGTCAAGGCACCAAGATATGATACAGCTACTAAAAACTGATGATTGTGGAACAGAGAAACTTGACAGCATTTCATTTCCTTTATGTTCTGATTATACATTTATCAGGAAACCTGTATCTCTTCTAGTTCAGCTAGAAATTGGTAGAATTCAAGAACTCAAAGGCTTGGCAAAGAACTGTCCTATTATTTGGTATCAGCTTACATTTTTAGAGAAGTTGCTTGGTTGAGTCATTGTTAAAGCTTTTGCTTCTCTTTTCATTATTGTGGCCCAGTATCCACAGATCACATTTCTGTGGGCCCTGTAACTGCTTTGCCGCACAAATTAAATGCTGGGATATTTCATACCGATACACCAGCGTCTCAATGCTTGTCAATCAGAGTTTATAAAATATAGGGATTACAACCTGATATTAACAACCAAACCTATTGTGCTCATTTTACGTGTGAAAATGAGAAAACCCCCGTGCAGACGCTAGATTTCTCAGGCTCTTTGTGCCCTCTTTTTAATTTATCTCCAGGTTTTTGAGTCAGTAAAAATGATTCTGCTTATCAATTTAATGTAGTGATAAAACATACCTATGAGTCAGAATGATCAGAACTGCAGTGAATCGACAGGTTGTTCAGCATTCAGCCTTGCCCCTTTGAGGGTTTTCAGGGGGCTATTTCTTTTGTCGTGTAAATAGAGCCCTGGGTTTTTTATTTTATTATTATTATTATTTTAAATTATGCCTCAGCTAGTGGTATGGTTTGCCTCCCATGAGGAAGCGGTCATGGAAATACATTGTCCTGGGGAGGAGGACTTTAAAACTCTTTTTTTTTTTTCTTTTTTAAAGATTTATTTATTTATTCATACAGAACTGGGGTGTAGACCAGAGATGCAGGGGCAGTGAGAGGATTCACCAGAGACAGAGAAGGGAGCCGAACAGGCAGATCAATAAACTATACTGCTGAGGGGAGCAGAGGGTGGGTCGGGAGAGGTCTGCGGCGCCATGTGGGTCAGCTCCTGGACCAGTGTTTAAACTCACAGCTGCAGCTAGCTTGCAGTGCTGCACCTTAACCTGCTGCGCCACCAGGGAGGGCCCAGATTTTAAAACTCTTAAACATACTCTCTTTATGCCTGTTCTTTTTTGCCCCCTCTCTTTTTACAGGTGTACTTCAAAAGGAATTACCCAGATATCACTCACAATGGCCACGTACTCATGAACACGTCCAACGGACAGCCGTCAGCCTTAACTATATTCGAGACAGCGCTGTGATTCTTCCCCAGCGTCAAGTCTGTTCCGAAGGCATTTTTTGGTAGCTTTTGTACTATATAAACAATATACCTATTATTTTTTAATTTAGCAACAAATATCTACACATACGAGGTGTTAATCTATTTGGATTTTTTCTTCACCCAATGATTTTCAGCCCTCACAAAGTGATTTATTACTTTTATTTAAATGTTATAGTATATGTTTTTCTTATCCAAATCAGAGGTGCAGGCCACCCAGAAAAACTGTTGACCAGGTTTTGTGCCTTAAGAGAAGCCAGAGCCAAAACTCATTTTGTAAAGGTATAAAACAAAGTTGTCAAGGATTTTTTTTCTCTTACTTTTCCCCAAATTTCATATTACTTTCCAGTTATATCAGGGATTCTATTTACTTGAAGTCTGTGTGTGAAGTTGCCATTTTGTGTCACTACTTTTTTAACAGAACTGGGATTATTATTTTCTCCAAAGGCCTCTGGTGAAAATAACATTGGTAACAGTCATGGGAAAAACCAAATACAGATTTTAAGAGGCACTGATGTAGGAGAGGGAGCCTTCATTTCTCCTCAAAATACAAGACACGTGATTAAAACATAGAGGGATGATCTGCAAACATCTGCAAGAGAAGGAAAATGAGGCTGTCTCAAAGTAGGAGACCTTCAGGATTTGATGATGGCTGTGATCATCTGTTGTCCTTTAGATGCACATGTTTCTGACATGGTTAAGGGTTGCAGTTTTAGATTCAGTCTGGTAATAAGTTCAAAAAGACCAAAACACGACCCATAATTTCTGAAGTCCGTGATAGTGTTTTTACTTGGATTTCGGGCTTGCGGACAGCTAACCTGTTGTTGACCCTCGGCCTTTGGCTTAGCCTTCATCGAAATCCTTGCTAAGTTGCATGCACAGGTTCTCCTGAGGTAGCAAACTGGAAAAGGATTGTAAACTTTCACTGTAATTTTGCAGTATGTTTTCAGAGTGCATCTGGGAGGTTCGTTTCCAAGTTAGGTCACTCCATCCACTCAGAGCAGTTTCTGTAGGTCTTTCTGACGAATCACTGACCCGCAGTGGTTGGTCTGCTCTGCTTTCGTTGCACTCTGGGCCTTCAATTGGTCTTTGATGGTGGTGATTCGGGTATCTTGAGTTGAAATCATAAAAGGCTTGCATGTCACAGTTTTAGTGACATGACCTCTCAGAATAAGAGGTAACCACCCTCAAATTGCATATGTTATATGCCTTCCTAGAGCCGATTACTGGACTCTTCAATGGAGAGCAAGAGATGCTTCATAGAATCAAGCCTTAAAATGCACAAACACAACAAACTACCAAAATACATTAAGTGCAATAGCCATTCTATTCTGTGTGTAGAAGTCACATGGTTGATGTTTCGTCCAATGAATCAGTAGGCTGTCTAATAATGATGTCTGATATTTCAGGGCTAGAAATGACAGCGATGATGGTTAGGTTTGGGAAAATATTTGAAATGTGTATGTGTTTATTTGGTCCTTAGTGGCTAAAGGCAGTTAAACATGTTTCTATTTTATTTCTGTTTTAATGTCATCATAGAATTTTTTAAGGAAAAGGCATTCAGTTTAAATAAATGACAGTTTTCATCTTCATTCAGCAATCTGTGCTTTTGTTCTTAGAGGGGTTACTGATTCATCTTTAATGTGTTTTCCTGAGATCAAAAAACTTTCTATTATCTGCTGCTTTTCTTGGCTAACGGTCTACCAAATCAGCAGAGAGGTGGATTTCAGAGTGGTGTCCACATCTGGCAGGGTTTTGAAACCATTGCTATTGAAGCAAGCTGGTTGCAACCCCCACCCCCTCTAGAAAGGAAGAGAATCAACTAGAATCAACTTATACCTCAGGCTTTAACAGTATTAAATTGTTGAAGTTTTTCAAATGTTTCTTTGCTCTAAATAAACAAGAAGTTATTGATTGCTACTGGATGTAAAACACTGCAGAACATTGGTTCTCAAAGTAGGGTCCCTGGACCAGAAGCATCAGCATAACTTGGAACACATTAGAGATGGAGATTCTTGCATCTCACTCCTCATCTCCTGCAGCAGAAGCTCTGTGGTCAGGACCAGTAGTCTGTCTCTCAGCCCTGAGGCTGATTCTGATGCCGACTCCAGACTAAGAACAAGTACCACAGAACACGAAGAACTCCTACATTGCTTTAAGAAAAGCACAGAAAGCCCAATTCGAGAAATGGACAAGAAACCTGAATAAATACTTCACAACACAGACTGTCCAAATGGCCTATCACTGGAGAAATACTCACTCTTGCTAGTTACCAGGGAAATGCAAGTTAAAACCACAAGGAGATAACATGAAACACCTACTAGGATTAAAGGTGGAGACACCGATAACGCCCAAGAGCCCAGGGCACACGCTTGGCCTGCTGTGTGTTTAAAGAGCGTATTTGAAAACGCCACGTTGGAGGACAGTTTGACAGTGTTTCCCCCAGCTGCACACCCTGGGATCCAGTCCTCCCATTCCCAGGGCACTATGTGTTCCCAGCCATGTGTCCTAGGTGTTCTTCAATACTGTGAATATGTTTATACCCACCATATCCTTGAATAAACAGCTTGGTCTTGATGTTGAAGAAAGTAACTTGGAACCAATCAGACCACTTATAAAGCCCTTTGGAGAACATAAGGTTTTATGTGTAAGCTGTTGATATTCCTTTAAAAACAGAAAGAATATGGGTTAATCAAGCTTTTGCTTTTCAAATTTAATGTTCTAAGGTAAATAATCTCATTTTTTCAAAAACTGAGACAGCAGTGTGTTGAAAAGCTAAGAGAAACATATGTTTGTTTGAATTTAAAACTAAAAAACAACGTTAATAAGAAAATAACATGCCCCAGCCCTCTGAGACCCCTTCTAGACTCCAGGCCCATCTAACTTGCCTTGGGGATCAACACAGAGACTGATTTTTCAGGAAGAACCAAGATCAAGACTTAGATACACTGAGAATGTTTTACAGAAAGCTTACATTGGATGGTTCTTACTAAATCCAATCTTTCACTCAGCAACCCTGCTCATAAAACTAGCCAACTCCCAATTATCCACCCCAGTAGATGGAAGCTTTGGGTATTCCCAAAACAGTGCTGGGTCCAAAAGTTAATCATATTTACTCTTGGAGGGCATTACATGAAAAACATTTTTTTAATTGAATTTTGTGGACTACCTAGACAAAAATGAAAATGAGTCTATGAGACAGAATTTGTATCAGGGTAGGAATGTTGTAAGAAAAGAACAATCAACAGTGCCTTGAGGATTTTAAAACTTTCCATTTTATAACAAGGAAGTCTGAAAAAATCCGTGAATCCATATGGACTGATTCTAATAACAGATGATAAATAAGGTGATGGTTGAATGGAGGGATTCGATAGATGGTGGATGGATGGGTAGATGGATTGGTAGGCAGGCAGATGATAGGTAATAGATGGCTGGCTGGCTGGATTGCAATTGTGGAAGCTTTCTTTGAATTCCAACAAATCAATGTAGAATTTACAGATAGAAAATGTGTAACATTGTAGCTATCGTTCCAAATAATTCTGACAAAATTCAACCATGGCAGCTAAATAAACATAGGGTGGCTTTTATAGACTGAAAGTATCTTCCCAGAGAAATTGTATCTTTAAAGTGAAAAAACAGGCCCTCCCTGGTGGTGCAGCAAGTTAAAGCACAGCCCTTTGAAGCGGGCCACAGCCACTTACCTGTGAGTTCAATCCCCAGTTCTGGAGCTGACCCACAGGGTGCTGCAGACCTCTCCTGACCTGCCTGCTGCTCCTCTCAGCAGTGTGCTTTGTTGATCTGCCTGTTCTGCTCCCCACTCCGGCTCTGGTGAAGCCTCTCATATCCCTACATCTCTAGCCTATACCCAGTTCTGTATACATAAATAAGTCTTTAAAAAATAAAGTGAAAAAACTGGGCAAACACTCCCTACCCCAAAAGCAGAGTCAGCATTACCAGGGGTGGTCTAACATCTGGCTGTGGCTGTGAGGCCTCAGCAGCCCACATCCCCTGTAGCATTCCTGCCACTCCCTATGGGGAAGAGGATCTGCCTTCGCCACATGAAGTCCACAGCCAGGTAAACGCAAAGGACAATCCTGGGGGCACCTGGTTTGCACCTTCAAAAGTCATGAAGTGAAGGTTGAAGAAGAGTTTTCAGATGAAATGGAAATTGTAAAGATGATAGAGTGAAATGCATGGTGTGATCCTGGTTCCAAACACTGAGGCCAGGGCTAAAGTGTAAATAGAGATAACTGCATAGTAGATAATAAAGTTGTGCCAGTTCCATTTCCTGAATTTTGCCTACCAGGGTTATCTCGGAAATACCCTTCTAATGAGATACCCGTTGATGGGTTCATGAATGAAGAGTTACTACTGTGTCTGCAACTTATGCTTAAATGGTTCAGCAAAATTCATCATATAATGTCATAACAATATCATTTTATTATCTATATATGATTCTGAAAGCACGATGTCTGTATTATCTGTCTACAAAGAGAGGAAATAGAGGAGAAATGTTAAGTGAACCTAGAGGAAAGATATACTGGAGTTCCTTGTATCACTACAGAAGCTTTTCTGTGGCAGCAAAGATTATTTTCCTTTTTTAAAAGATTTATGCATACAGAATTGGGGTACAGGCCAGAGGTGCAGGGGCGGTGAGAGGATTCACCACAAAGAGTGGGGAGCAGAACAGGCAGATTGATGAAGTGCATCTCTGAGAGGAGCAGCGGGCACAAGACAAAGGTCTGCTGTGCCATGTGGTCACCTCCTGGTGGGTGTCAAACTTTTGCTGAAGCGGCTGCAACGAACGTCATAGTGTGTTGCTTTAATGTGTTGTGCCACCATGCAGGGCCCGTAAAGATTATTTTTAAAGTAAAAAGGTTTAAAAAAGAAAAGTTTTCCATAGCCCTATCCCAAAGTGAAGAATACACATCTTCACAAACCAACAGTGACCCCCAAAAACTCTCAGACCAGGGCCCTCGCTGGTGGCACAACAGGTTAAAGTGCAGCTCAATGAAGCTCTCTGCAGCTTGAGTTTGATTCTTGGCCAGGGAGGTGACCTACATGACTCAGCTGACCTCTCCTGAAGCACCCCCTGATCCCCTCAGCAGTGTATTTCAGCAGATAGGCCTGTTCTGCTCTCCCTCTGTCTCTGGTGAAATCTCTTATCCCCGCTCCCAGTTCTTGTATGCATAAATAAATAAATCTTAAACAAACAACCCTCAGACCAGTTTCAGTTCTGTGAGTGTGGTTCACACAGCTCCCTTCTGCTGAGCCCTAGTCCCAAGCTCGCCTGAGGCAAACGCTCAGACAGGCCTCCCTTCACCCAGGAGCATGTGCAGTCAAGGAACCTTCTGCTCACATAGTTTTCACAAATAGCATTATGCGATCTGTTGTGGAGATAATTATGCCAAATGTAGACTCACCTATGAGCCAAGTTTCCAGGACTGCACCATTCCACAGCATTGTTATTGGAGGGAGCCGCCATTGGGGGGCTGCACAGATAATGGAGCTAGGCTGGTGGGTGATGGGTGGCCACACAGGGCACCCAGGCCTCGGTGACAAGACAGTGTTGCTCTCTGCTGATTAACAGAAGCATTGTGGAGGATCCCAAGTGATGTGTTCGGGCTGCAACCATTTCATCCCAAAGCTTTCTCTTTTCTCTTTTCTCCCCACCTTCCTTCTCCCACCCTCCCTCGCCCTCCTCCTCTCTCTGTCTCTCTGTAGTATACAGGTGTTTTCCTATGTTACATGTGATTAGATTCCTAGACATTTCTGGTTGTGCCAGTCAACTATTCTGGGAGTGTGCCGATTTACAGTATGAAAATAACTCCTTTTCATTTGTTTTCTTTTAAATTACATTTGTTGAGTTAACATTGGCTTCCAACATGGTGTATGATTGAGGAGTGTAAGTTGACACCTCTTCAAAGGTCTGGTTTTCTTGAAGACCCATTTGGTGTTTGCTTCGGCAGCACATATACTAAAATTGGAACGATACAGAGAAGATTAGCATGGCCCCTGCGCAAGGATGACACGCAAATTCATGAAGCGTTCCATATTTAAAAAAAAAAAAATGTGCAGGGCCCTCCCTGGTGGTGCAGTGGGTTAAAGCACAGCACTGAGAAGCTAAAGCCACTTTCGCATGAGTTCGATTCCCGCCTGCCCCGGAGGTGACCACATGGCAGGGCAGACCTCTCCTGACCCGCCCGCTGCTCCCCTCATCAGTGTACTTCATCGATCTGCCTGTTCTACTCCCCACTCTGTCTCTGGTGAAGCCTCTCGCCACCCCTGAGCCTTTGGCCTGTACCCCAATTCTGTATCACAAATAAATAAATCTTTAAAAAAAATGTGCAAAATGATGTAAAAATAAACTTTGTAAAAAAAAATGTTCTAAAAATTAAAAAAAAAAAGAGACCCATTTGAACTACCTGGACTCATGAGACCTCTGGGAGACTTTAGAAGAAGGCTTCATGGCTGTTTGGAAGCTACTTGTAAAGGGGGTAGCCAAGTGCCCACACAGCACACAAGACAAAAAATAATAACTAGAATTCCATTCCTCCAAGAGGAAACCATAGTCTGAAAATTCTCCTTGGCAATATGCAATAGTGTTGAGCAATCAACACGATATAGTGTTGAGTTACCCTGGCTGATTTAACAGG